TGATGAGTTTCCATCCGTTGCTTCTTGTCCTGCCTTCTTCAGGCGCTTTGGACAATAGCTTGACTCCCTCTTCTTTGGGGCAGCCCCTGAGATACTGGAAGGCTGTTATCCTGTCCCCCCTCGTCCTTCTCTTCATTAAACTAGACATCCCCAATTCCAGCAGCCTTTCTTTGTAAGTTTTAGCCTCCGGTCCCCTGATCATCTTTGTTGCTCTTCTCTGCTCTCTTTCCAGACTCTCAACATCTTACGAATGCAGGTGAATCTACCTATCCCAGGATAATGTTGCAGGATCCAATCTGGGTCGGTCACCGGGACCGGAGGTTTTTAAATACTGTGAGCAGAACAGCCCAAAACACACACTCTGCCAGAGAAGGTCCCCTGAGGATATGGGCTCCAGCAAGGGTCCAAAAGCTTGGAAGATCAAATCTCTGGACTCAAATTGGATCCTCCCAGCGTCTTTCCCATAGGGGTAGGCCACCTTGGCTCTTTTATGACTCGTGGACTTCAACTCCCAGAATTCCTCAGCCAGCCACACTGAGGGGAAAGGGAGAGGTTTCCAAGCTGAGCCATGCTGGCTGAGGAATTCTGGGAGTTGAAGTCCACAAGTCATGAGGGGGCCATAGTTCCCCCTACTGGCTGAGGAATTCTGGGAGTTGAAGTCCACGAGTCATGAAGGGGCCATAGTTTCCCCATGCTGGCTCAAGAATTCTGGGAGTTGAAGTCCACAAGTCATGAAGGGGCCATAGTACCCACATGCTGGCTCAGGAATTCTGGGAGTTGAAGTCCACAAGTCATGAAGGTGCCATAGTTCCCCCATGCTGACTAAGGAATTCTGGGAGTTGAAGTCCACGAGTCATGAAGGGGCCAAAGTTCCCCCAAGCTGGCTCAGGAATTCTGGGAGTTGAAGTCCACGAGTCATGAAGGGGCCATAGTTCCCCCATGCTGACTAAGGAATTCTGGGAGTTGAAGTCCACGAGTCATGAGAGGGCCAAGGTGGCCTACCCCTGCTAATTTCTGGAGCTCAGTCCCAACACTGCTAGGAAGGCTGGAAGGACAGAAAGCCCCACCTAGTCTCCCCACCGGCTTTGCAACAACAGCCAGGCCAGGCAGGCAGGCAGCCGAGTCAGGAGGACCCTCCAGGAATGTCAGATAAATGGAGGCCAACAGGACAATGGAGAAAAGTCTGGTGGGAAGAGCTGTGGAAAGTACGATGCCTAAAGTGCAGATGTCCGTTTGACAGAAACCAAGATGGATGGGGAGGGGGCTGAATAGAAGGCGGGCTGCGAGGGATGCCTTGGGAGGCAGAGGGGTCCGGGGTCGTTCCCCCCCCCTTTAAAACTGAGGGTTTCTTCCATCAACTTTACAAAAGAGAATCGAGATACAAGGAGCAGAGGCCCGGTGGCTGGTTCACTTCAGCAACTTATCCCAGTGGAAAAGTCATGGGACTTCAAGTTCCAGAACCCCCTGAGGCTGGCCAAGGAATTCTGGGAGATGTAGCCCTTGGTGGAGATTGCACGGAGATGTTCACACTGTAGGAGAAGAGCCAAGTCAATCTATAGAGGGGCTCTCTCAACCTCAGCAACTTTAGGTTGGACTTCAACTCCCAGAATTCTGAAGCTGGGAATTCTGGGATTTGAAGTCCGCCCGTCTTAAAGCATGCCATCTAGGGAATTATGGGAGTTGAAGTCTACCATATTAAAGCATGCAGCTGTGGGATTCTGGAAGTCCACAAATCTTAAAGCGTGCTCCCTGGGGAATTCTGGGAGTTGTAGTCCACCCATCTTAAAGCATGCTGCCTGGGGAATTCTGGGAGTTGACTGGGAGTTTAAAGTTGCTGAGGTTGAGAAGCAGGAGTCTCTAATTTATGGGCTCCACCCTCCCCCTCCAAGAATCTACTCTTGGCTCCCTAAATTCCCATCCTTGCGGCCAATTAGTTCCATCGGTGAATAAATGTGTTTTCAGTTGGTTCTCAGGGACTAGAACCCTGGGACTAACTTGGCTTGCACATTATATCCTGCAACCCAATCCAACTCTTCCCCTTTTTTCTAACGTTTCCTTCCGTGAATTAAAAGCAAGGAACTGTTTAAATAGAAAAACCAAAGGCTGCTCTGTGTGTGTGTGTGTGAGAGAGAGAGAGAGAGAGAGAGAGAGGAGAGGAGAGGAAGAGAGAGGATAGAGAAGAGAGAAGAGAGAGAGAGAAAGAGGAGAGAGAGGAGAGAAGAGAGAGAGAAGAGACAGAAAGAGAGGAGAGGAGAGAGAAAGAGAAGAGAGAGAGAGAGGAAGAGAGAGAGGAGGAGAGAGAGAGGAGAGAGACAGACAGAAAGAGGAGAGAGAGAAGAGGAGAGAGAGAGAAGAGACAGAAAGAGAGAAGAGAGAGAGAGAACAGAGGAGAGAGAGAAAGAGGAGAGAGAGAGAAGAGACAGAGAGAGAGAAGAGAGAGAGAGGGAGAGGGAGAGAAAGGGAGAGAGGAGAGAGAGAGAGAAAGAAGAGAGAGAGAGAGAGGAGAGAAAGAGAGAGGAGAGACAGAAAGAGAGGAGAGAGAAAGAAGAGAGAGAAAGAAAGAGGAGAGAGAGAAAGGGAAGAGAGAGAGAAGAGAGAGAGAGAACAGAGGAGAGAGAGGAAGAGAGAGGAGAGAGGAGAGAGAGAAGAGACAGAAAGAGAGAGAGAAGAGAGAGAGAGGGAGAGGGAGAGAAAGGGAGAGAGGAGAGAGAGAGAGAAAGAAGAGAGAAAAAGGGAAGAGAGAGAGAAGACAGAAAGAGAACCGAGACGAGAGACAGAAAGAGAGGAGAGAGAAAGAAGAGAGAGAAAGAAAGAGGAGAGAGAGAAAGGGAAGAGAGAGAGAAGAGAGAGAAGAGACAGAGAGAGAGAAGAGACAGAAAGAGAGAGAGAAGAGAGAGAGAGGGAGAGGGAGAGAAAGGGAGAGAGGAGAGAGAGAGAGAAAGAAGAGAGAAAAAGGGAAGAGAGAGAGAAGACAGAAAGAGAACCGAGACGAGAGAGAGAGAGAGAGAGAGAGAGAGAGAGAGAGAGAGAGAGAGAGAGAGAGAGAGAGAGAGAGAGAAGAGACAGAGAGAAGAGAGAGGAGAAACAGAAAGAGAGAGAGAAGAGAGGGAGAGAGAGAGGGAGAGGGAGAGAGAACATCTGTCTGTCCGTCTGCAGGAAGAAGGCAGAGAGAAATATACAGGCGTCCCTTTTTTTCCTCCAATATGATTTCCTTCCATTCGTTTTATTTTGAAAAGGCGTCTCCTTTCCTCTCTCCTTTCCTTCGTATTTCCAAACCGCATTAAAAAGAAAAAGACAGAAAGAAACGCGGGGGACGGGGCTTTCCTTTTAACCCTTGCAGCCCAAGGGCAGGGCTGGGGAGGATGAACGACGGGAGAGGCTCACCCCAAGCGAGTCACCCCCTTCCCCAAGAGATTCCCGGGGGTTCAGCCTGTCCGTGGGGAGGCTGGAGGCCGTGGGACCGGGGACGAGGACCTGCCTCTCAAAGGGGCAGAGGGGGGGGGAGCCAGGCTGGGCAGCGCCAGAGGGGCGCCCCTCCCAACCCCTGGCCAAGCCACACGGAGCGCAGCATTCGCACAACAAGCTTAACCAGGCCTGTGAAAGACCCAGCGGCTTCCCGCAAGGAAGGGCCAAGCCTGGTTAGGGTTAACCCGGATTAGGGGTGGGGGCAATCCTGACAGGTTGCATCAACCCCTCCCGTTGGCTTATCTGCTGCCCTCTTTGGTGAACAGAAAAGACGAGGGGGGAGGGGCTATCTCGAACTTGCACCCCGAAAGTTGATTTATTGTCCCTACACCAGGATTTGGGGGGGGGGTCATTGGAGGGGCTGTAAGGCAGAATGAGGCCGCAGAGACCCTTGTGAAGCGCTCTGGGGGGGGGCACAATGGAGCCGTCCTGAGAAAGTGCTCTGGAACGGAGGTCCCACCGAAGACCCTCGGCCACACACGGAGGTCTGGTCCCATCCAACAGGTCTTGGTCCCATCCAGATTTCATACTCTTCCTCCTCAGTTTCCCCCTCCCCCAGTCCCTAGCTGGATGGGGGAGGGATGCCCCCCCACCCCCTCCCATTTGACCCTTTGGTGCCAAAACACAAAGCCCAGTCAGGTAGAAGGAGCAGCAACGCTTTGTTAAGTCTGTTTAATCTGTGTCAACTCCTTGTGGGCAAGTCTGGAGGGGGGGGGGAAGACATCCGGGAAAAGGGGCGCTGTTCTTCCAAAGGGGGGGGGACCCTTTTTCCTCTACAGGAAGAGGGAGCAGTTCGATCTTCAATCCTCAGAAAATGCTCCCTCTGGAATTTGGGAAGGGATCTGGAAGCTCCTGATTCGGGCTAATTTGTCAGAAACCAACAGCCTAGGCCCCGTGTGTGTGTGTGTGTGTGTGTGTGTGTGTGTGTGTGTGTGTGTGTGTGTGTGTGTGTTCTCTCTCTCTCTCTCTCTCTCTCTGTGTGTGTGTCTGCCTCTCTCTCTCTCTCTCTCTCTCTCTCTCTCTCTCTCTCTGCCTCTCTGTGTGTGTGTGTGTGTCCATCCTTGGCCACTTGCAGACCCGTGGACTTCAACTCCCAGGATTCTCCTGAAGCCCCCAGGTCTTCCAGTGGCCAAGGATGGACACCCCACCCCACCCCACCCCACCGCCGGCCTAGGCTCTGACGCTTCCACACACCAGCCAGACCAGGTAGGCCCTCTGCTGCAACCGGGAGGAAGGGGAAAGAGGCAGTTTTCCTTGGGGATCCCGAGGGAGACCCTGGCGGAGAGAAGCGCCGCTGCTGCTCTCCTGGAACCTCTTTCTCCGGCGACCCCCTTCCAAAGCCAAGGGGGACCGGTGGAGGGGCAACCCGTCGGGGCGGGAGCGCAGCCGAGACCCCCGAAAGGGTTAAGGGAGGGGGCGGGGCGGGGCGGGGCCGAGGGGGGCTTGGCCGCCGAGGCTCCTGTCGCCTCTGCCGGTCCCAGCCGGCCAAGTATATCTCGCCCGCCCCGTCGCTGCGCCGCCACTTGGCGGGCGGGCGGGCGCAGAGCCGGAGCTGGGGGGTCTGGGCGCCATGGATTACTCCTACCTGAACTCGTACGACTCGTGCATGGCGGCCATGGAGGCGTCGGCCTACGCCGACTTCAGCTCCTGCAGCCAGGCCGGCTCCTTCCAGTACAACCCCATCCGCAGCTCCTTCGCCGCCAGCCCGGCCTGCCCGCCGCTCGCCTCGGCCAGCTGCGCCCTGGGCGCCCTGCGCGACCACCAGCCCTCGCCCTACGCCGCAGGTAGGCGCCGCCGGGGGGGGGAGGCAGGGGAGGATGGGCGCGGGGGTCGAGCCGCCCGGAGTGGAGGCTGGGCCGCGCCGGCTGGCCAGGAACGGGACGCGCAACCGGGGGTTCCTTTCGGGCACCCCGTCCAGTTTCTGCCCGCTGCGCTGCGCTGCGCTTGCCTCTCCAGGCGCTGTCGAGGTTCGGGGGTCCCCGGAGGGTCCCGGGTGCTGGAAGGGAAGGGTCTGTTTCGGCCAAGGACCTGCCCCGACGTCTCTGGGGCGCCCTCGCTGCTTCCAAGCAGGTGGGGCAGAGAAGGGGAGGATGGACGGCTCGCTGCCCCCGAACCGGCCTGCCCGTCTGAGTAACGGAGAGGGAACGGGGTCTCCCCAACGGGAGCTACCCCAGCACGACGGGAGGATGCACTCCGGGAATCGGAGGGGCGCGCAGCCCCCGCACAGAGTCGTCCGAGGAACTGCGCACCCGCCCAGTCCCGGATTGGCTCCGGGGGCGCGCAGCTGGGCAGCCCCGGGCCCCTAGCCGTCGAAGAGTCGCTCCAGGCGAGCGCTGAGCCGCGCTTTCGGACGGGGCGCTTCCCATTCCTTCCAGCCCGAAAACGTGTTTCCCCTCCCCACACACACGCCTGAGAGGGAACTACATTCCGACAGTCGGGAATGGTCTCCGTCACCGCCACAAGGCGCAAAGCGAGGCGCGTTTGCCGGGCGCCCAAGGCGCCACTTTCGCGGGTAAGTGCCACTTCGTGGGCTGCTCTGCGCAATTGGCGACACCCCCGTCGGAGGGGCGCCTTCTCCGCCCCCGACCGGGCCCCGCGTCCGGGGAAGAGCCCTGGCCTTGCTCCGAGGGTCCTGATCCAGCGCAGGGTCTTGATCCCCGTCTCTCCCCTTCCGCAAGGAAGACCCCTGGAAGGTGCCACCGGGTTTTCCTCCGCCGGGAATGCGCTGCCCGCCCAGGAGAGAAGTGATGGGAGTTGTAGTACACGGCTGGTCTGGAAATGGGGCTCCCGGGAGGCCAACAACCGAGTCGGCGCCACCTGCCCTTTGGGTCCCGCCGCGGGAATCCGGCCGCCGCGCCGCCCCAATGGATCGCGTCCCTTCGGGCGGATCGGGGCCGCCCTCCCGGCCCGCCGGCTCTGAGCGGGGCCCCCTCCTAAGCGACTGGGGAGCAGGACTCGGGCTGGGCGGCTGCGTTCGCACGACCTCGGGAACCCGTGACTGGCCGGCGAAGTCGTTCGAGGTTTCGGGAGTCGTTCGAAACCGCGGTTGGGCCGAGTCAGAGACGGAGTCAAAAAAGAAGCGGCGCCTCTTCCTGGGGAGACCCCTGCCCCTTTGCCCCCGGCCGGAAAGGGCCCCGCGATTCGGGAAAAGCGCAGCTGAGCAGGAAAGAGGCGCCCCTTGCGCGATCTCAGCCTGTCCGGAGAAGAGCCGAAGATTCGCTAAGTTGGTTTAAGCGCCAAGGGTGGGATGCGGTTGCGGGTATTAATGTCTCCATTAAGTGATTTATTTGCATTTATTTGGGGTTATTTCGTTGGAATCACCTTCCCCGCCCTTTCCATCCTCTGCCTTAGCCGATGAAGGCCGAAACGCGGGGAAAACACACCGGCGCGCCTTGCTTGCCCAGCGTCCCCCTCCCAGGCTTCGGGTCACGCGTGGATCCGAAGCAAGTTGGCCGCGCAGAAAGGAAGAGAGAATCGCCTCCACTCAGAAGGGGAACCCCCCCTCCCACTCCGAGGCCCGGGAAAAGGGGCGAGAGGGGACGCGGGGACGGTAGCTGGGCTGCGCCGGGAGAAAGCGCCTCTGGCCGGGAGCGAACACGCGCGGACTCTGGTTTTCTGGCGCGCGGCTTCTTTCAGCTTCGGCTCCAGGATTAATTTAAACTGACCATATCGGAGAATAGAATAGAATAGAATAGAATAGAATAGAATAGAATAGAATAGAATAGAATAGAATAGAATAGAATGGAATGGAATGGAATGGAATGGAATGGAATAGAAATACAGAATAGAATAGAATTACAGAATAAAATAGAATTAAAGAATAGAATAGAATAGAATAGAATAGAATAGAAAAAAGGAATAGAAAAGGAATAGAATAGAATAACAATAGAATAGAATAGAATAGAATAGAATAGAATAGAATAGAATAGAATAGAATAGAATTTAGAATAGAATTTAGAATAGAATAGAATTACAGAATAGAATAGAATTACAGAATAGAATAGAATAAAATAGAATTACAGAATAGAATAGGATAGAATAGAATAACAGAATAGAATAGAATACAATGGAATAGAATAGAATTTAGAATAGAATAGAATAGAAATACAGAATAGAATAGAATCACAGAATAGAATAGAATTAAAGAATAGAATAGAATTACAGAATAGAATGGAATAGAATTACAGAATAGAATAGAATATAAAAAAGGAATAGAAAAGGAATAGAATAGAATAGAAATACAGAATAGAATAGAATTACAGAATAGAATAGAATAGAATAGAATAGAATAGAATAGAATAGAATAGAATAGAATAGAATATGAAATAGAATAGAATAGAAAATAGAATAGAATTTATAATAGAATTTATAATGGAATAGAATATGGGATATAGAATAGAATAGAAGAAATGAAAGCAGAAGCGGCCGGCACGTGGGAACGAGACGCCCTCGGATCCACGGAGATGCCTCGCTACCCATGGTTTTCCCGACCGGAGGCGCCGCAACCATTCCGGACCCCGCAGAGCCCCGGGCGAGGCCGAGCAATCCGGCGAATTGGAGCGCCGCTTCATCGTTAATTTCCCGACAAACGGAAACACGGCACCGTTGCAGGTAGCCAGCCCTCCGCCTTGCCCCCTCCCCATTTTATGTCTCTCATTTTAACCTGGGAGAGAGAGAAAGGCGGCGCCACGTCGACTGTTCCCGTGAAATGGGGGTTCTCACAACCCACGAATACACACAGGACCACCTCCCAAGCTAGCGGTCCGTGCGAATGCGACCGCCAGGCCCTTTCCCTAAAACTGAAGCTGCCCAGCGTCCGCGCTAAGCCTGCCTGCTTTCCCTCCGTCTCTTCCGTCACCCATTCCGAATGGGCCATTCAATTAAAACCGCATCTGGAACGGGAAAAGGGTAAGCAGAAACCTTTCACCCGTTCCAGCTGAAGGGTCTTTAAATCCGGGCCGTCCCGCGCGCCCTGCTTCGTTTTGCCAAGAAGCGCCGCGCAACGTTCCCGGGCAGAAACGCGCAAAATTCGTGGCCGTCTGCAGTTCTTTCTTTATTCCGTTTGTGAAGGTTGGAAAATTAGCGGGAGGTTTTTTGTGTGTGTGTGTTTTTCCTGCGCGGGTCGGTCTCCACCATTTCCCGCAGGAAGTCTTGGAGCCCCCCCCCCGCGCCCCATACTCCGGGAAGGAAACTCCGGGCAAGAGTGCCTGTGACTGCGCAGGAATTTTCTCCTCCTCCAAAAAGCGATTCCCACGACGCAGAGGGCCCCGTTCTAGGAAACTCTTTGCTTTGTGGGTGCGTGGGTGGGTGGGTGGATGAGGGGGACGCAGCATCCCTTCGCACCAAGCCAGCTCCAGATTTGAGCAGCTGCTTCGCAACTCGGGTTAAGAACCACAAGTCCTTGATGCTCCTGGCGGTTCTCCTAATGTTTGGTTTCTAGGGAGCAATCTCTGAGTACCAGTGGAGGAGAATACTTGTGGCTTAAGGTTGAATTGTGGGCTCCTTAGTGCTCTCTGAGCTGGGTGGGTTTTTTGCAGACGTTTCATCACCCAATACTGATGGTGTTCCCTAGTAGGGTGATGAAACGTCCGCAAGAAAACCACCCAGCTCAGAGGGCACCAAGGACCCCACAGTCAGTCCTTCCTTCCTTCCTTCCTTCCTTCCTTCCTTCCTTCCTTCCTTCCTTCCTTCCTTCCTTCCTTCCTTCCTTCCTTCCTTCATTCCTCCCTCCCTCCCTCCCTTCCCTCCCTCCCTCCCTCCCTCCCTCCCTCCCTCCCTCCTTCCTTCCTTCCTTCCTTCCTTCCTTCCTTCCTTCCTTCCTTCCTTCCAGCACTGATGATCTTCCCTAGTTGGGTCATGAAACATCCACAAGAAAACCACCCAGCTCAGGGAGCGCCAGGGACCCCACAAACCTTTACATTTTCTGCTGGGCACCTTCAGAGATGGGGGTGAGCCTCGCAGCTAGGCATCCATTTCCTTCACTGAGGCCAACATGTTGGCAGCACGTCCTGGGCTACAATTCCTACCAATAAAGGAGAATATTTGTAGCCCAGGGTTGAAACGAGGGGTGCTTGGTGCTCTCTGAGCTGGGTGGTTTTCTCACAGACGTTTCATGACCCAACTAGGGAACATCATCAGTGCTGGAAGGAAGGAAGGGAAAGAAGGAAGGAAGGAAGGAAGGAAGGAAGGAAGGAAGGAAGGAAGGAAGGAAGGAAGGAAGGAAGGAAGGAAGGAAGAAAAGGAAGGAAGGAAGGAAGAGAGGAAAAGAAAGAAGGAAGGAAGAAAGAAAGGAAGGAAAGAAGAAAAGGAAGGAAGGAAGGAAGGAAGGAAGGAAGGAAGGGAGGGAGGGAGGGAGGGAGGGAGGGAGAGAGGGAGGGAGGACTGTGGGATCCCTGGTGCTCTCTGAGCTTGGTGGTTTTCTCACAGACATTTCATGACCCAACTAGGGAACATCATCAGTGCTGGAAGGAAGGAAGGAAGGAAAGAAAGAAGAAAAGGAAGGAAGGAAGGAAGGAAGGAAGGAAGGAAGGAAGGAAGGAAGGAAGGAAGGAAGGAAGGAAAGACTTAGGATTGGGTGGTTTTCTTGCAGACATTTCATGACCCAACCAGCGCTAGAAGGGAGTAGAGTTTGGGATGGGAGGAGGAGGAGGAGGGGGGCTGTGGAAGTCCTTGATGCTCTCTGAATTTGGGTGTTTTTCTTGAGACGTTTCATGACCCCACTAGGTAACATCATCAGCGCTACCTCAGAAAGCCCAAGGACCTCATAATTCCTACATAAGGCTTATAATCCAGCATCCCTGAAGAGATCCGGGAGGGATCACTGGGCCGAACCAGGATCCCCAAACTAGCCTAACCCACCCCCCGTGCGCAGCCTCCCTTCCTGGGGGTCCTAAGCCGTACCCTCTTTTCCTCCTCTCTCTGCCCCCCCCCTGCAGTCCCGTACAAGTTCTTCTCGGACCCCTCCACCATCAACGAGAAGAGGAAGCAGCGGAGGATCCGGACCACCTTCACCAGCTCGCAGCTGAAGGAGCTGGAGAGGGTCTTCGCCGAGACCCACTACCCGGACATCTACACCCGGGAAGAGCTGGCCCTCAAGATCGACCTCACCGAGGCCCGAGTGCAGGTGAGTCGCTGGGGAGGGGGCGGAGGGGGCGGCCCGACACCCCCAGCCACGGCCTTGGAGCGGCAGCGGGAACCCTCGCCCACCCCTTCCTTCTGCGCCCCCCCCCGCCTTCTGCCCCAGCCAGGGTCAGGGGCCAACTATGGTGAGGGAGGAGCTTCCTCTATCTGGGGGGAGGGGCTCACCTTCCTCTCCCCCCCGTTGCCCCTCATCATCCCTTGACCCGGGAGAATAATAATAATAATAATAATAATAATAATAATAATAATAATAATAATAATAATAATAATAGCAATAACAATAATGTTGGAAGGGACCTTGAAGGTCATCTAGTCCAACCCCCTGCTCAGGCAGGAAACCCTATACCAGGGGTAGGCAACCTTGGCTCTTTTATGACTCCTGGACTTCAACTCCCAGAATTCCTGAGCCAGCCATGCTGTGCTGGCTCAGGAATTCTGGGAGTTGAAGTCCACGAGTCATAAAAGAGCCAAGGTTGCCTACCCCTGCCCTATACCATGTCAGACAAATGGCTGTCCAGTCTCTTCTTAAAAGCTTCCAGTGTTGGAGCATTCACCGCTTCTGGAGGCAGGTAGTTCCACTGGTTAATTGTCCTCACTGTCAGGAAGTTTCTCCTTAGCTCCAGGTTGCTTCTCTCCTTGATGAGTTTCCACCCGTTGTTTCTTGTCCTGCCTTCGGGCGCTTTGGAGAATAGCTTGACTCCCTCTTCTTTGGGGCAGCCCCTGAGATACTGGAAGACTGCTATCCTGCCCCCCCCCCCTCGTCCATCTCTTCATAAAAGGCGGTTCCTTCCGCAGCTGATGCCCCAGCGGGAATCTTTGGAGCAGGAACGTCTCCCCGGACCCACAAAATTGAAAACGGGGGGGGGGGGAAATGGATTTCAGGCTCTTTAACGGGGTCCCCCCCCACATAATTCCTGGCATGTATTTAATTTCTGTGGGGTCCTGGGTGCTCTCTGAACTTGGCTTTCTGGTAGAAAGAGATCTGTAGGTGTTCTCAGCCACCCAGATCATCGGATCAACGTTTCTAGGATGAGAAACGAAACGTTTTGTTCAAGGCAAAACAAAACAAAACAAAACAAAAACCAACAGTCCATCTGCCTTTGGGGAAAAAAGCCGTTTTGAGTGTAGAAGTTTCCTTGCCCAGCTAGGAAGCATCAACGTTTTACTTCATCCTTATATTTCATTTCTTTGCACGGTTTTTCGGAACCCCTTCGGTTCAAACGTGGCTTTTGAAAACGCTTAGTTAGCGCCTTTATTTCAACGGAACCTCTCGGGTTGATTTCATCCTCTGATCCCAGTTAGCGGTTTATACGGTGGCGTTAAACCAGGGGTTCTCAACCTTGGCAACTTTAAGACTTGTGGACTTCAACTCCCAGAATTCCTCAGCCAGCTTTGCTGGCTGAGGAATTCTGGGAGTTGAAGTCCACAAGTCTTAAAGTTGCCAAGGTTGAGAACCCCTGCAAACAGATAACAGCTAGTAGCTTAATAGCGATTCAGTGTTTCCTTTCCCACAGCTAACCACGCGTGTCATCATTCTGCAAGTCCTTGGAAAGCCCACGGTTCACCCATACAGTTTTACTAATTGCCTTTTGTTCATTTGCATTTCTCTAATTGCCTTTTGCTAATTTATCCTTTGGAAAGTCGTGTTGCTTTCCTGGCTTAAATTCTTTTAGAAAAAAAAATAATAAAAAGCAAGAACTCAAAAGCCTCGGAGGATCGCAACAGACTAAAACGATAGACACAACAATAAAATAAATAGAAGAACAACAGCAACAATAAATCAACCATAATAGACAGAAAGTAGGGGTCAGGAAAGCTTAGCGAAAGTCCAGTGTCTATAAAGCTCCTTTTAAAAAAGGGGGGGGGAGAAAGCTTTACAGACCTGGGGGGCAAGCAGCCACAACGTGAGGAGGGGGCCCTGAGAAGCACGGCGCCGTTTTCGTTCTGGATTTCAGGATGGCAGGAGTTTAAAATTGCAGACTTTTAAAACTCCTGCAAAAATGGCAAATTCTAGGATTGCAGAAATTAAAAAGCCAGGTTTTTTAATTTAACGTTCTCTGCAGCAGCCCTGGGGAAGGTGTGTGTGTGTGTAGGATGGGGCAGAGGCCGAGCAGAAAAAAAAGCAAATTTATAGATTGCAAAATATTATTTGTCGATTGTTGTTTGTTAAAAATATATATATATTTATTGTGTTATTTATTTATTATTTCTTGTGGCTATTTGTAAAAAAAACAACGAAGGCTGGATAGATAAATAAACAAACAAATAAATAATGCATAAATAAAAATAAGTAAATAAATGTCCTTTTGGGGGGGAGAGAGGCAGGATGAGAGGAAGAGCCGCTTGTGGGCTCTTCCCGTTTGGGTTCCCCCCCCCCAGATCCGTTTCTGTTTTAACAGGAATTCTTAAGCCTGGTTGTTAAAGGGCTGGTCTCCAAATGTCATTTTCTGCCCCCTCCCTCACTTAAAAAAGCCCACCCCCTCCTTTACGGCAGAGATTGCAAATAACAATTTTGGGGGGCTGTTTTGATTTCTGATTTTAATCTTTTGCTGTCCAGGGTCCCGTATTTGAAATGGGCAGGTCATGTAGATTTGATAAATAAATTTGCCAAAAGAAAAAATTCCGACATTTTATTTGTCAGGTAGAAGTTCCTTGGGATAAAAATTATTTAAGTAAGGCTGGTTAGTAAGCTTGGGATAAAAAACGATTTTAAAACGATTGCAAGGAGTGAGATTGGGGGGGGTGACACGAATTCTCCCTCCCCATGTTAGAATGTCAGTTTCAAACTAATCTTGTCGTTTTTAGGTAAAAAGGATGAACACCAAAATATTATTGCTGTGTCAAATAATAGTAATAATAATAATAATAGTAGTAGTAATAATAATAGTAATAATAATAATAATAACAATAATAACAACAACAACAATAATAGTAGTAGTAATAATAATAGTAGTAGTAGTAGTAATAACAACAACAACAACAACAACAACAACAACAACAACAACAACAATAATAATAATAATAATAATAATAATAATAATAATAATAATAATAGTAGCAGCTTAACTTTTTCCCCAAAAAATTGCTGGGAAAAATTGCTTTCTTCTTATTATTTTTTTTATCAGAGAAGCCACAAATTTTGCTGATATTCTCTGGAAAGGTGGGGCTGTGCGAGAAATGGTTTGTGGGTTTTGCCTTCCTTGTGAGTCCAATCTCTTCAAGCCGTTTGGCTTTCTTTATAGCTAAAGAGAAAACTTCCACCTCATCTAATCAGGAAAAAAAACAGAGAGAGAACGATATAAACCCCTCCCGCAACGAAATAAATTCTGCAGAAATAAAATACACTTTAAAAGCCCAGCGAAAGAAAACGGAAAATTCTCCCGAGATTCGGAGAGAGAGAAAAACCTCTTGTTTCGCAGGATTTTAATTTTTATATGTCTATATTCTATGCCGTTTTATATATTATTTCAACGTGAACAAATGAAGAACAGCGTTTGTAAAAAAAATACGTGGGGTTCGTAGGGGTCCATTTACATTTCAACTATGGCCATTTGTGTTGTAAATACACACCCCTGCCTTTTGAAAAAGCCAGCGGGGAGAAGCAGGCAGTGGAGATGGGAGACCTCCGTGTGTCCGGCAGTTAGGGGGGGGGGGGGCAAGGGAGCTACTGTCATAGCTGCGGCCATCCTGTCTGTATGGTGGAAGAGAACATTTGAATTGAGGGGGGTGGGTCCCTGGTGTTCTCTGAGCTTGGTGGTTTTCTTGCAGACATTTTGTGACCCAATTAGATAACTTCCTCAGTGGTGGGGTTTGTGGAGAGGAGGAGGAGGAGGAGGAGGAGGATGATATTGGATATTTAGTGCTGTCTTGGCTGTCTTCTTGCAGACATTTCATGACCCAACTAGGGAACATCATCAGAGCTAGAAGGAAGGGAGGGAGGGAGGGAGGGAGGGAGGGAGGAAGGAAGGAAGGAAGGAAGGGAGGAAGGGAGGAAGGGAGGAAGAGGAGGATACTGGATCCTTAGTGCTCTCTGATCTTGGTTGTCTTCTTGCAGACATTTCATGACCCAACTAGGGAACATCATCAGTGCTAGAAGGGAGGAGGAGGAGAAAGAGGAGGAGGAGGACTGTGGGGTTCTTGGTGTTCTCTGAGCTTGGTGGGTTTTCTTGCAGACGTTTTATGACCCAACTAGGTAACATCGTCAGTGCTAGACGGAAGGGAGGTTTGTTCTCCATTTATGTCCAATAGCTTGCCTGCACAGTGTAGATTGGGGAGCTGTTTTATTCCCCGCAGTTTCTTGATTAGATAGGCCTGACCAGGACAGGTCCACTCCAGCATCCAACACCCAGATAAGCAGGGCTTAATACCTGACAAACCATAAAGCAGAAAACAATCAGGAACTACCAGGAAGAAACCAACACGGGCCGGGTCAGACCTTTGGGTATAAATGGGGGGCCAGCCCCCCCCCTCCTCCAGCGCTGATGATGTTACCTAGCTGGGTCACGAAAGGGGATGTCCAAGCTCAGAGAGCACCCAGGTCCTCCCATCCTGGTTGTATCTGGGGGAGTAAATCTGTCCTCTCCCGGTTTAGGTCTGGTTCCAGAACCGCCGGGCCAAGTTCCGGAAGCAAGAACGGGCCTCCAACGCCAAAGGGCAGAACAGCGGCAACAACAGCGGCAACGGCTCGGCGGCCAGCAAGAAGCCGGACCCCCGGTCCTCCTCTGAAGATGACGAGTCCAAGGAGTCCAACTGCAGTCCCACGCCGGATAGCACGGCCTCCCTGCCAGCTGCCGGGGGCCTGAACAGTCCGGCCGACAGCCTCAGCCCCAGCCCTGGCACAGGGCAGCCAGGCCTGGGCGCCGGGCACGCCACCCCCAGCCTCAAGTCCCCCCTGTGGGCGGGCGTGAGCACCAGCAATGGGGGCACCAACACGGCCGAGTTGCTGAAGGCCTGGCAGCCCTCGGAAGCCGCCATGCCCGGACCTTTCTCCGGCGTCCTGTCCTCCTTCCACAGGAAGCCATCTCCACTCAAGGCCAACCTCTTCTAACGGAAGCACAACCACATGCTGCTGACCCACAACAACCCCTTCCCTCCCATCACTGCCAGAGGTCCTGTCCAGCTGCCCCAAGGGTGGGGAGTCAGCTTGAACTCAACAAGCGGTGGTTTCTCTTGACTTCCTGGCCAAGCCACCTCTGAAATGGCTTCAAACGGTTCTGAACAAAGACGACCACTACATCCTCTGTTTTTTTGTTGAGACCTCTTGTCATCTCCTGCCCTATTGGGTGGGAGGGGGAACCAAGAATGGATCACCCAGTCCTCCCGTCTGCGTGAAGGAGACCCAGGGCTTCTTGGGTGGTGGATCTGCCCCATCTTCTTAATGATGGTCAACTTAGGAGTTAGTGGATCAACTGAGCTTCTCCCTTGCTCCACGAAGCTGCTCAAGATGCTTATATTGGGGCATGAGGAAGACTAACCTGGTGTCCACCAGACTGGCTGGACTACAACGCCTCTCATCCCCTGCCCAAGCGTTCACTAGGTTGTGGATGAGGGAAGGTGAAGTCCAGCACGTCAGCTTGGGTGAAGAGTGCCTATTTATCTACGGCTGGGTTGGGGTCAGCAACATCAACCAAGAAGGAGGCATCTGCTGAGCTTGGTGGCACCCGTGCACTTCACAAAAGGTGACAGGGAGGTCTTCAGGTTGACTGACAGCTGGTGGGATAAGAACTTTGAGGGTGGTCAGGTGACAACTGTGGAGTTCCCACAGCCCCTGGGCTTCAGGAGGCTGGCTGAGTGGATGAACCCATCTCTGCAAGTAGGAGAGACTCTACATCCATCCCCAAGACGGAGGAAAGACCGTGCCCTCCTTTCACCCCACACTTTCCCCCCTTCTCTTTCTTTTCCTCCTTGTGGACTCTGGGCTTCTGTCTAGCAATGGGCTGAAGGTCCTCTTTTCCCTCTCTTGAATCTTCAACAGTTGGAGATGGAAAAAGGCCACGAGGCAAGGCAACTGTCCTCTTATTTATATTCCCACAACCTTCCTGGTCTTACCGTGCCCCAGTTCCGAAGCCTCCAAAGAGCTGGGGGTGGTGGTGCGACAGAATCCAGAATGCCAAAGGGACTTGGAGGTCTTCTAGTCCAACCCTCTGCTCAAGCAGGATACAAACACTGGACCAGACAAATGGCTGTCCAGTCTCTTCTTGAAGGGTGGGCTTCCTGGATAGAACTTGGCTGATTTTTTTCCTGGTGGAGAAGATGTCTTGTCCCTCTGCCCCAGTGGGCAGAGAGAGGACAGCTCTGAAGCTTCTTGGAGACTTCTGGATGAGGGCAACATGTCATTCCTCCTTGTCACTCCCTTTGACCTGGGGTAGACCCATATCGGGGACCTCACCCCCCCCCCATCAGAGCTGGCACCAGCCAGAGCACAAAACAACTCAAAGAAGTTGTCCAAGTGGAGAGACCTGGCTTATAGAACCGCCAAGAGTTGGAAGTGACCGGATGGATATCACCACCGACGCCATCATCATGAACCTCACGAGAAGGGAGGGAAGACGTTCTTCTTGAGGTCGGACATCCATAATGCAAAGATGACTGAGATCTGAACAGGGGTCTTGCTATTTGGGGGGGGGGGTCTTGCTACCTGAACAGAGGTCTTGTTTCAATCATTTTCTTCCTCAACATTAATGGATTTTATGCCCCGTTGACAGATTGGACAGGGAATGACCACAGGGTGGAGGTCCAGCTGGGCTACTTTGCTTTAGAGCGGGGCCTTGGGGTGTCACTCACGCCTCATATCCTGCCCTGAGGACATCAAAGAAGATGAACCAGTGAAGCAGTACCAGAGATGTTAGGAGCTTCTTCTGGAAATGGTTGATTTATGGCAGCCTGGAGATGAAACCTTTACTTGTCTTCAAGAGGGAAAGTTCCACGAGGAGAAGGGTGCACAGGGTGTCCACCGTAAGTCCTGCATCCCACAAACTTGTGTCCATAAAGCTGTGCCATCCCTGTTTGAAAATGTCCAAACTTTCCAGGTTGGTTTCCCAACTTGGAACCTTGGTATGAAAAGGAAGCTCCTGGAGAACCTCAACAGCTCCTGATCTTTCCAGTGCTGATGGGTTTTGAAGGTTCAGTTGTGTTGGCCTTCAACTCCTGCCATCCCTTCAGGTTGACCAGAAGGACTTGTGCAGAATGCAGAACACAACAACTGCTCCCACTGGAAAAGGGGCCCATGACAGGAGATCCGTAGGCTTCGTCTACAAGGTTCTAACAAGGGTTCAGCAAGCCACAACACAACACCACCCCCAGGAGAAATCTAACCGATGATGTGCAAATTCAGCCACTTGGTATTGGGTGATCTCTATGAGGATGTTTGGTGAACCCAGCTGCTCTCCCCCTGCTGGTCTGGGCCTCTTTGCACCCCATCGCTCAACCTCGAACGATGCCTACTCCCAGAAGGACCTAGTCTGTGGTTCTGGAAGCTCAGAACTCAGCTCTTGAAGAGAACTTGGCCCACAGCATCCTTCCAGCTCCTTTTGAAGACCAAGGCAGCAGAAGCCTTTAGTAGGGACAGCAAGCTCTCCTGTTTGGACCTTCAGCATCAATACCATCATGCAAAAATCCTAGAGATGGGAGACAGGTGAGATGCACCTGGACAAACACAAATCTCCTGCAAAGGTGCTGCTGCTGGTGGTCCATGATGGACAGTGATTCTCTCTAATGGGTGGGCTCTACTGTCCATTCCTGCCAACCTGTGGGTGATGCAGACACAGCTCTAAGATGGGAAGCATCAGCAAGTACCCTTAGATACCTCCTGCTCTCTGAGGATGATGTTCCTGCTGCGGCTACAGCGGCTGGGTGGAGAGAGGGTGCAGAGGGCTCTTGGAAGTCCCTTCTGTTTTGGGAAGACCCTGGGAAGAGAAAGCACTGCTCAGCACTTGCTTCGGGACAGAACTTCAAGTCTATGTTGACACTTCTCACATGGGCAGAAGTTCTGGCTTTCCAGCCAAAGTCTTGCTGAAAGAGGTCCATCTCTGCCTAGGTCCGGCCAAGGTTGGAGGGCTTTGGGGGTTGCCTTGCAGAGGGGAGGGTCCAAGGGGGCAAATGGTCCGGCCACCTCCTCCCAAGAACGGGAAGACCCCAAGCGTCAAAGCCTACAGCAGCTGAGGAGACAGGACCTTCTCAGAAGCTCCTGTCTTCTCCTGAGTGAGGTGGAGAGAGGTCCCCCTTCCCTCTTCACGGCGCTGCCTTGGCAGACAAAGGCCACATTTGGCCCACCTCACCAGGAGCTCACGGGTTTCACTCTGGCTTGGTCACGGAATAAGGCTGAAGCTGCCCCTGACCAGGAGTGACCAGCAGGTGGTCTTTGCACCACACATCTAAGCAAGTGGGTTAAACGTCCTCTCTGGCTGTGAAGCTTGGTGGTGGTTAATCTTGGGTGGCCTTGTGTGTCTGTGTGCATGCGGTTTTGTGGGTGTGGGCGCCGGACACATTGTGTAAATCAGCAGAAGAGAATCTGTGGAGCGCAGGGTTGAGCTGTGGAGGTCCTGGCTGAGGAATTCTGGGAGTTGAAGTCCAGAAGTCTTAAGGTTGCCAAGTTTGGAGACCCCTGGTATAGAGGTATAGAGAGGATGGAATCCAACATCCCTTCAACAAAGGCAGAGGGCAAAAACACAGTGGGCAGAGCAGGTTATCCGGGTATTAATCACACACCCCCTCGGGGGTCTTTGCAGCAGGAGACAGCACCCATAGCTCCCAGGGAGATTTCTCTAAAGCTAAGTTGCTCAACCTTGGCTACTGGAAGACTTGTGGACTCCAACTCCCAGAATTCCACAGCCAAGTCGGGTCTCTAAAGCCCAGAGTAGCCATTTTGTATTTTCATGGTGAGAAACGAGCCTCGTGACATGGAGACCTTCGTGACATGGAGTTCTGAATATGGAGACTGCCTTTCGCAGAAGGAGGAGGAGGAGGAGGAGAGGGGAAACAAAAAGAAGAAATGGGCAAACTTTCCCCCCAAAAAGTCTGGCCCAGTCCTTTTTCTTCTTCTCAATCCGCCATTTTTGCATTCCTCCTGGTTTTTTTTTTTTTCCCCTCCTTGTCATCTGGACAGTTTCTTCATTTCAGTGTGAAGTCCTGTGTGTGTCCTGCGTATGACTATTTATTGATGGAACGGGGTTTACCGCCACAAAAAATCCAAGCAGCCTTTGGGAAAAGGAGGGATTAAAGCAACTTGGCTCTTTGATGACTTGTGGACTTCAACTCCCAGAATCCCTCAGCCAGCGTGCCTGGCTGAGGAATTCTGGGAGTTGGAAGTCCAGGGGGGTCTTCCAACTTGGCCCTTTGATGACTTGTGGACTTCAACTCCCAGAATCCCTCAGCCAGCGTGCCTGGCTGAGGAATTCTGGGAGTTGAAGTGCAGGGGGGTCTTCCAACTTGGCTCTTTGATGACTTGTGGACTTCAACTCCCAGAATCCCTCAGCCAGCGTGCCTGGCTGAGGAATTCTGGGAGTTGAAGTGCAGGGGGGTCTTCCAACTTGGCTCTTTGATGACTTGTGGACTTCAACTCCCAGAATCCCTCAGCCAGCGTGCCTGGCTGAGGAATTCTGGGAATTGAAGTCCATAAGTCATCAAAGGGCCAAGTTGGAAGACCCCTAGATTAAAGCCACTTGGAAGACTTGTGGACATTAACTCCCAGAATTCCCCAGTCAACCTTAACCCTAACTCATGGCTGGCTGGGGAATTCTGGGAGTGGAAGTCCACAGGTCTTCAATTGGCCAAGGATGGACACCCCTGGATTAAAGCAAGCTGCGAATGTTCTCACCTTCTGGTGTCCACCCATCTTGACACAAATTAGGGTAGCTGGAAGCCTGGATCAAAGTTGGGGCCCCAATTAAGGGTTCACCGGTTCTTTAGCCTCTTAACCAGGTTCTTAGCAGTCCACATTTTGTAGTGATGCCCAAGGTGTGGCTTTCATCCCAACCAATTTGATAGGACCTCTGAAGAACCAGACTGGGACCCTCCTTGTCCATGCAGCAACATCTCCCGTAGCATTATCACAGATGTCTCCATCCTATGTTGGGTATGGGCGGAATTAACCGAGACTTCTTCCTGAGGTGAAGATCACGGTCTAACCTGGCTTAGAGAAGACAGGTCTTGGAGAACCATGGTTGGGAGTCAGAACAAGTAATTGAAAAAGTGGTGAAGACAAACCATGATGGTAGATAGGATTTCCAGGGAGAGGCCTACAAGAAGGGTCGGCTTTTACAGTCCCATATTTTCCAGACTCTGGTGGAATTGTTGTCTAACACACACCCAGAGAGGTGACTAAATAGGAAAGGCTAATTAGGCACTGTGGTGGCCACAAAGAAGTCCAATGGGCTTCCTAGCCACGTCCAAAGGGTCTCTTTCAAAGCTTGTGTCTACTCCTATCTCTCCATCACTGAGCTGGTTCCCCCACCATCCCTGGTCAGCTGTTCTGTGTGGCTTTGCTTGTTTTGTTTTGTTCCCCCCCCCCCCGCTCTGTAATTTATTGATTTGCAAAATCTGCTAATCCAAATAAACTTAATTTATTGAAGGACGCAAGGGAGACTTCCGTTGGGCTGCCTTATTTGTTTGTATCCTGCCTTTATTATTATTATTGCTTTTTGCAAATAATTCAAGGAGGTGAACATATCCAACACATCTGCTCTTTTTCCCTGCAACAACAATGTGAGGTGGGTAGGGCTAAGAGAGAGAGGGGGGGACAACTGGCCCAAGGTCACCCAGCCAACATTCATGGCTAAGGTGGGGCTTGGGCTCACGGCTACCTGCATTCTAGTCAAGTGTCTTATCTACTAGACCAGGCGTCTTGAAACTTGGCCCTCTGATGACTTGTGGACTTCAACTCCCAGAATTCCTCAACCAAGCACAGAATTCTGGGAGTTGAAGTCCACAAGTCATCAAAGGGCTAAGTTTCAAGACGCCTGTCCTAGACCAAACTGACTCTATAGCTTTCTTTGAAAGTAAGAATGAGGATGGACAGCATGCATTCTGATGCAACAGTGCTTCAAAATAGCCTTGTTCCCACAATCTTTTAGCCCAGATGTCTTATTATGTTCAGCTACTGTCCCTTCTCATCAAAGGATCGAAAGCTGCTCTTTTGGGAATGCCGCGGTCCCCCTCTGCACCCTCCACAAAGGGCCCTTGGGATGGCAAGGGACTGGCCATGTTTTGGGCCATCCTTTGCAAGTGTGGCTTGCTTCATCGTGGTGGAGGAAGCAGCTTCACACGGGTTAGGGCAGGGGTTCTCAACCTTGGCAACTTTAAGACTTGTGGACTTCAACTCCCAGAATTCCTCAGCCAGCTTTGCTGGCTGAGGAATTCTGTGAGTTGAAGTCCACAAGTCTTAAAGTTGCCACGGTTGAGAACCCCTGGGTTAGGGTCTGCAATGGAGGGCTTGCTTTTTTAGCTGCTGTTTCCCTCCAGATGTTTCTTGGAGGTTTGAAGTAGGTCAAACAAGGCCCTTGGCTTCCACCGAAGTGTGTTTTCCAAACTTGGCAACGTTTGAGACAGGTGGACTTCGACTCCCAGAATCCCCCAGCGTGCACGGGGCACGCTTCAACTCCCAGAATCCCCCAGCCGGCGTGTTAAAACACGGATGTTCCAGGAACCCGGCAAATGAAGACAGCAAAAATTAGTTTAGAGATAGGCATGGCTAGATCGGTTTTGTGTTAAATTTACTTTCTGGTTACCTGAATCGGTCAGCAAACCTCTTTTCTGCTTGTCCCATTCTGCAGAGTGTTCCCACAGCACGCACAACATTCCAGATGTGCTCAATCACCCCACCAAACTGGTTTGCAATGTTTATCTGCTTCTAGCTAGGAAAGGATGAAAAGGAGGGCACGTCGGTACGCAAACAAGCCCTTTTATTGTATCATGACGTATTAATCGAAGGCGTGAAATCTGAACAGGACCAGGAAGAACGATGCAGCCGTTTCTTCGGCAGGCTAAGATATTAAGCATACAAAGAGTTTCAAATGGAAGTTAAATTAAACTTTTAAAAAAGCACACACGCATACAGATCACAACGGAGTAGAATTTAGTAAAGTTAAACTCACACCAAACATTAGTAATAACTGAAGAGAGAAAAGGTGAAAGGCAGCACAAGGCGCTGACTTCCCCCCAAGTGGAAGAGGAACCAAATAAAGGAAGAATAAACACAGAATATCCTTCATTTCTGCTTTGTTGAGGTGGGGAAGGTCCTAGAAGCCTGATCCCAGACTCTTCTCCATTCACACCTTCTGGATGGGGAGGACTACAACTCCCAGCTTCCCCAGCTCCCGTGCCCGTGAGCTGGGAATTATGGAGGTTCTCAGCAGAATCTCCACGAGGGACCTCAAGGGTCTTCCCCAGTCATGAAACCATGGCTATGCCCAGGGCGTCTCAACTTTGGGAGCGTGACGATGGGTGGACTTCAGCTCCCAGAATCCCCCAGCTTGCTATGAGGAGGAAGGAGGGAAAGAATGAAAAAGAAGAGGGAGGGAAAGAAAGGAAGAAAGATGTGAGTAAATGAGGCAGGGACAGGAAAGACCAGAGGGAGGGAAAGAAGAAGAGTGAGGGAGAGAAGAAAGGAAGGAGAAGGGAGGGACGGAAAGAAGGTAAGAGGGGAGGGAGGAAAGGAAGGAGATGGAGGAAAAAGAGGGAAGGGAAACAATGAGGGAGGGAGGGAGAAGGAAAGGAGAGGGAAGGAGGGAAGGAAGAGGGAGAGAGGGAGGGAGGAAGAGGGAAGGGAAACAATGAGGGAGGGAGAAGGAGCGGGAAGGAAGGGAGGAAGATGGAGAGAGGGAGGAAGAGGAAAGGGAAACAATAAAGGAAGAAGGGAAGGAAGAGGGAGAGAGGGAGGAAGAAGAAGGAAGGGAAACAATAAAGGAAGAAGGGAAGGAAGAGGGAGAGAGGGAGGAAGAAGAAGGAAGGGAAACAATAAAGGAAGAAGGGAAGGAAGAGGGAGAGAGGGAGGAAGAAGAAGGAAGGGAAACAATAAAGGAAGAAGGGAAGGAAGAGGGAGAGAGGGAGGAAGAAGAAGGAAGGGAAACAATAAGGAAGGGAGAAGGGAAAGGAGAGGGAAAGAGGGAAAGGCGGGAGGAAGCTGTGCTGGCTGGCTGGGGAATTCTGGGAATTAAAGCCCACCCATCTTCAAGCCGCCAAGCCTGAGAAGCCCTGCTTGTGCCAATCAAACGGCAACAAAGACAATTTCAACACTCTTTATCAACGAGGTTTAGGAGATGCAGGAAGAGACTCTTAAGACACTAACCGGGATTCGAGCTAAGTTGAAAGCCCTCAACAAGGCTCCCATTGGGTTCAATTTACCTTGAAATTTCTTGTAACGGGGGGGGGGGAGGGAGCCCCTGCCTCTCCACCTCCCCCCCCACCTCCCTAGTGTAAAATAAGGCACGGCGCAAAGGGGACATCCCCCCCACCCCAGAGAGAAAGAAGAGCAGAACCAAGGCAACGGCCTGGATTCCGGCCTTTGGCTACCTTGAACCCGGATCCAAACGGACTCTGCAGGCACTGCAGTTGGCACGAGTAAGGGGAGCAGCCCCCCTGCCCCCCCCAGATCGCTCCCAAGTCAAGATGAACGAAGGCTGGCCCGAGATGGGATCTGCTGGATGAAAGCCCTGGTTGAAAGGACGTGAAGGAACAAGGTGGATAGGAGAACCTCAAAGCTGGTGGACCTCCAAAGGTGGTGGGACTCTTCAACGCGCCTCTGGCATCAACCATCACTAGATCTCCCCAAGACAAGATTCCATCCTTGGCCGAGATCCCAGCTCTGCAGCTTGCACAGCTGCTCAGCGTATGGTCCATCCGCCAGGGGTTGACGTCTTCGTGATGGGTTGTTCTGGAGAACCAGCAGCTTCTGCCAGGCAGGGTGGAGGACCTCATGGAGATGTGGTGGTCCATGGCTCCAGCAGCTCAGTTGTCCAAGAGCATTCTACCAGACTTGGCACTGCCACTCAAGGGTGTGTGTGTGTCTTCTTTCCTGGAGGCTACCTGAGTTTAATCTGGAGATTGTCGTCCACGGGACGGTTAAAACCCTCAAGGGAGGAGATGTATGGCGGTTTAAGGCAGAGGGGTCCAGACCTTGGTCACTGGAAGACTTGTGGACTTCAACTCCCAGAATTCCCCAGCCAGCCAGACATGGCTGGCTGGGGAATTCTGGGAGTGGGAAGTCCACAAGTCTTCCAGTGGCCAAGGTCTGGACACCCCTGGTTTAAGGCTTAAAATGCTCTCAAAGCAAGAGATTTTTCGTAGGGAAAAAAAAAAAAAAGAGATTTCTAGCTGGACTTTGAAAAACTTTGCAAAAGTTTCCCGGAAACGTGAAATGATGGGACATGGAAAAGAGCCACGGCCCAAAGCGGGTCGCAGAAGAAAAGCTGACCGTCAGCAGCAACGTGACAATTCACCTCCCACGAGTCCTTTCTCGGAGGGGGGGTGTGAGAAACGGGCTCTGGAACGTCCTTTGCGCTCCCTGTCCCAATTTCTGCCCCACCCCGGGAAATAAAGGGAGTTTCCACTGGCTGCCTCCAATCTCTGAATTGAAGGGGTGTGTGTGTGTGTGTGTGACTGGTGGTCCCAAAAGGGACGCCCGCTGGCAGCCTGGAGCCACTGGTTTCCCGATCAGCAGCTCTGGGGGGGGGGGGAAGTGGCCTTCTCCTGGGAACCCCCCCCCTCCCAGGACAGATGTGAAATTAGGCTGGATGGGGAATGTGGTTCTGTAAGGATAAAAGCATGGGGGGGGGTCCTTCTTGCGTGGCAATAAATAAGAATAACTTAACCCAGGGCAGCCTCAACCCACGTACAGGCCGAGGCCATGTCGCCTTCCAGATGCTTGGACACCCCACCCCCCCGCCCCCGGTTCTCCAGGAGCAACGATGTCCCTGGCACATCTGGAAACGGGGGCTGCAGGCCGCAGGTGGGCTTCAATCCGCCCCTCCAGGGGGCCGGAAAAGAAGGCAGATGGAGCCTTGGTGGGCAGCTGTAAGGGGGGAGAGGGTGAAACCGGAAAGAGAAGGCACATCTGGCGAGCGGGCCAACGTCGCCCCCAGCAGTCCCGGCTATTTCTTCAGCCGGAGGTTCTCCAGGAGAAGCTGCTTGTGGCCAGCATCCATCACCCCGGCCTCTTCCAGGTCTTCCTCGGTGATATCACTGCAAAGGGGGGGGGGGAACAGGAGGAGGAGGAGGAAGGATAGGTTAGAAAATCACAGGCTTGGAAGTGTAAGAAAATAATAAAAGATACCGTTTTAGTATTATTTATTTATTTTATTTATTAAAATTTATAGACCGCCCCACTCCCGCAGGACTCCGGGCGGCTAACAATAAAAACACAATATAACTTAACAAGACAAACAATACAGTAACATTCATCCAGGGGTCAGATTAGTATTAGATTAGTATTAGTACCGCTTTATAAAACCCTAGTAAGGCCACACCTGGAATATTGCGGCCAGTTTTGGTCACCACATCACAAAAAAGATGTGGAGACTTTGGAAAAAGTGCAGAGAAGAGCAACTAAGATGATCCAAGGCCTGGAGGCTAAAACATACGAAGAACAGCTGCAGGACTTGGGTTTGGCTAGTCTAGAGAAAAGAAGAAATAGGGGTGACATGATAGGACTGTTCCAGTATTTGTGGGGGGGCTGCCACAAAGAAGAGGAGGGGGTCAAATTATTCTCCAAAGCACCAGAAGGCAAAGAGAAGAAACAATAGTTGGAAACTGATCAAAGAGAGAAGCAAGCTGGAATTAAGGAGAAACTTCCCCACAGTGAGAACAATTAAGCAATGGAAAGGCTTGCCACCAGAAATTGTAGGCGCTCCAACACTGGAGACTTTTAAGAGGAGACTAGACAGTCACTTGTCTAAAATGGTGTAGGTCCTCCTGCTTGAGCAGGGGGCTGGACTAGAAGACCTTCAAGGTCCCTTCCAGCATCTATTCTATTCTATTCTATTCTATATTCTATTCTATATTCTATTCCATATTCTATTCCATATTCTATTCTATTCTATTATTCTCTATTCTATTCCATTCCATTCCATATTCTCTATTCTATTCTATTCTATTCCATTCCATTCCATATTCTATTCCATATTCTATTCTATTCTATTCTGTTTTATTCTATTCCATATTCTCTATTCTATTCTATTCTATTCTGTATTCTATTCTATATTGATATTCTATTCTATTCTATTCTATTCTATTCTATTCTATGCCATTCCATATTCTGTATTCTATTCTATTCTATTTTCTATTGTGCTGTTTTTGCAAAAGTAAGCATATCCTAAGAATGATGGTTGGAGACATTTAATGGGGCCTAAAGTACCAAAGGAAATACTAAGGTGAAGAAGAGCAGGAAATTGTCAAATTCTTGGAACCTATGTTTCTCACAGAAGGGACCTTGGAGGTCATCTAGTCCAGAGGTCCTCAACCCCTGGTACATGACCCGGCTGTGGCCTATTCGGAACCAGATCACGGGAGAGATGGACAATCCTGGCCTAAATCTTCCCTGGAGGCTGATTTTGGGGTCCTGGCCTGGACGGAAAAGGTCCCGCAGCAAATTACCCAAAAGGTAATTTCCACATCTGTTCTGCAGCTGCTGGGGAACAAGCACCACCTAGTGGCCACAGGGGGCAGCAGCAGGAGAGAAGCAAGCAGGGCTGAACAGAGTGTGCAAACTATCATTCTTTGGCTAAAGTCTTGTTTGCAGACATGCAAGACAGGGATCAAAGGTGGCGTCTTCCCAGCAAGACTTGGAGGATTTATTTCTCGGCACTCGATCTGTGAAATGGGCGCAGGGTGGGGATGTCTGCAAGGAGGGGGGAGAGAGTCCAAAACCTGCAAGGGTGACACTGAAACACCACGGCTTTTTATGCGCAATGCAACGCACATCAGGAAATGTGGAGCTCCAATTGCACCCTAGAAACATTTTGACAGTTTGGACCACAAAGTTGTCACTGTGTGTTGTGTTGCTCAGTTTTTGCACCAACAGAGCAGCTGCTATTCTGCCTGTGCCTTCTCTCCTCCACTCTTCTCCTGGGGCTGGATGTTCTTGGAGGCCGTGGGGCTCCTTCCTCGCTTCCCCCGTGCCTGGAGGACCCCCCCTTAGAATCCTTCTGAGATGCTCCCTCGTGGCACCGCAATTCCCAGTCGGCTGTGAGAAAGGAAGCGGCCCCCCCCAAAGACTATCTCGGCTCTCTGCTTCCCCCCAGCTCATTTATTTATTCATTTATTTTTTATTTATTTTTGGGAATCCGGCCTTTATTATTTTTACAAACATCAGACGGCAGCAACCATATCCAATACACCTCCCTCCTATTGTTTTCCCCACGACAGCAACCCTGTGAGGTGGGCCAAGCGGAGAGAGAAGGACTGGGCCTAAATCTCCCAGCTGTTTTTCATTCCTAAGGCAGGACTAGAACTCACCATCTCCTGGTGATTGGCCCAGAGTCACCTAGCTGGCTTTCGTGCCTAAGGCGGGACTAGAACTCACCGTCTCCTGGTGATTGGCCCAAAGTCACCCAGCTGGCATTCATGCCTAAGGCGGGACTAGAACTCACCATCTCCTGGTGATTGGCCCAAAGTAATCCAGCTGGCTTTCATGCCTAAGGCGGGACTAGAACTCACAGTCTCCTGGTGATTGGTCCAAAATCACTTGGCTTTGATGCCTGAGGCGGGACTAGAACTCACTGTCTCCGGGTGATTAGCCCAAAGTCAACCAGTTGCCTTTCATGCTGAAGGCGGGACTAAAACTCACCGTCTCCTGGTGATTGGCCCAAAGTCACCCAGCCGGCTTCCATGCCTAAGGCAGAACTAGAACTCATCTTTGTAGCCAGGCGCCTTAACCGCTAGACCAGGCTGCTCACTGCCTACTCACCTGAGGAACTCCAGGTCGTCCCAGCCGTTGTGGATGAGGCCTTCCTCGTATCGCTCCATGCTGATGGCCCTCAGCCACTCCCCCACGCTGGACTCGCTGCGCCTGGAGCTGGCACTCGGGCCCTCCTGGGTGAGGGCCTGTAAAGGGGCAGCAGGAGGTGGCGGTCAGGGACCCAGCCGGGGCAGCCACCAGGGGGCGCCACCGCCTTTCCTGGCAAATACTGTTGGGGGGGGGAGATTTCTAGCATCCCCCCCCTCCCAATGTGACACCATCTACAAATAACAGGCTCAACCCGGGAGTCTGCCTCCAGCACAGGAGGGGACCCTCCTGCTAGGAATTCTCTTGGGGACCCCCCCCAACTGCCTACCTCTTCCGCCAGGTCCTCTTCAATGCTCTCCCGGATGGAGCGGGCAGGAAAGGTCACCGGGCGGCTGTAGTCGGGCGCCAGGCAGCGGTGGGCCAGATCCAGCCTCGCTTTGGTCCCGGGGTGGGAGGGGGGCCGGCCCGCCTGCTCCCTCCCCAGGCCGCCCCCGCTGGAGTACTCCACCTCGCTGAGGGTCTTGGCCATCTGAAGCACGGAGCAGGAGCGGTCGTCCAGGATGCCCGGGCCAACCTGGGGCCCGCCGGGGGGGTCGAGGAGGTACCCCGCCCCCAGGGACGGGGCTGGCCTGGGGTGCAGCTTGGGGGGCTTGGCCTTCAGGGGTTCGCTGAAGACCACGGTGGCCCGTGGCTTGCCGGCCAGGGGGTCCTCTCCTCGGACGCCCACCGGGCTGTAGAAGACTCCTTCCGCCATCTCCAAGGCCACCGATTTGGGTAAGGGAGGGGGCGGGAAGTCTGGGGGAGGCAGGTTGAGGACCCCCGACTCTTCCTCTTCCGCGTTCTCCTCGGCCCGCTGAGAGGGCGGCTGTGGGGGCCGCCAGGACTCCGGCTGGATGGGCACCGTGATCTGGACTTTGTTCCGGGGGGTGGGGGGTTTGGCCGAGGTCGCCGGAGACAACTCTGGGAGCAGGAGCTGGTGGGGGACCCCTTCCAGCACGTAATAAGCAGGGTTGTTGAAGCTGTTCTTCGGCGGGGGGCCCTCGGGGTCCGTAGCCACCTCCTGCTTCGACCTACACAGAGGAGATGGGACCACTCAGCCCTGCAGCTGTTCCTCCCGGCCCGTCTGAGACAAGGCAGGCTCCCCATGTGCCCACTGCATAAACCCCAAAAGAGAGAGACCCCCACAGCTGCCTTTTGTCGTTCCCAGTGGCCAAGGGGATGCCCATCAGAAGTGGCACTCTGGTTGAGGAAAGAAGAGCAACCAGGAGAGAATCTGTCTAGGCGCAGGGGTAGGCAACCTTGGCTCTTTTATGACTCATGGACTTCAACTCCCAGAATTCCTGAGCCAGCATGGGGGAAACTTTAGCCCCTTCATGACTTGTGGACTTCAACTCCCAGAATTCCTCAGCCACCATGAGGGAAACTATGGGCCCTTCATGACTTGTGGACTTCAACTCCCAGAATTCCTGAGCCAGCATGGGAGAACTTTGGCCCCCTCATGACTGGTGGACTACAACTCCCAGAATTCCTCAGCCACCATGAGGGAAACTATGGCCCCTTCATGACTTGTAGACTTCAACTCTCAGAATTCCTGAGCCAGCATGGGGGAATATGGCCCCTTCATGATTCGGGGACTTCAACTCCCAGAATTCCTGAGCCAGCCTGGCTCAGCTGGGAAACCTCTCCCTTTCCCCTCAGCATGGCTGGCTCAGGAATTCTGGGAGTTGAAGTCCACGAGTGATAAAAGAGCCAAGGTTGCCTTCCCTGGTCTAGGGAGATTCTCGTCCTCCAGGACATGGTTGTCACAAAGCTGCTTTTTTAGGAGGCAACAACTTTCTTATTTTTTCTAAACACAGTCTTAAAATTTTCTGGAATTTTTGGTAAGTTATTTTCTTCCATAGATTGAGTCATTTTCTCCCATGGCGCTTCTTCCTTAACATACAGTTTCTCATAGTATTCTTTAATGATCTCTTTCAATTACTTCATTTTTAAATTGTAAATTTGTTTATTTTACTTCAGTTTTTTATTTTACTTATTTATTTTACTTTACTTATTTTCAGTTTTTATTTTATTTATTTTACTTTACTTTGTTTTACTTCAGTTTTTTATTTTACTTATTTATTTTATTTTATTTTATTTTACTTTTTTTAAAATTTATTATTTTATTTTTTTATAACCACGCATCTCTGCCAACAACTTTGGGCCGCTATAATTATACTATACACTATAATTAAAACCAGACTTTTTCATCTACTACATTGTTTATCAAGTTTTTTCTCCTGTTTTTTAAGTTTAATATAAGCTAACCGATTTCCTTTGTTTATTCAAAAAAAGTTTTGCTTTGCCCTTTTCATTTGCTGTGCCAGTTTTTCTGATTCTGTTCAATTTAACGAATGTTTTATTGTTTCCATTTGTCTTATCAATATTTTCTTTTGTGGTTCAAATTCTAATTTTTTAAAATTCGTCTCTTAACTACGGACCTTGTTGTCTCTTTGCTTTGCTTTTTTCCCCGCCATGTATGTTATTGCTACGCTTCTTATTTTTCTTTAAAGACGTTTCACTTCTCCTCCCAGAAGCTTCTTCAGTTCTGACTGAATGGTGGGGAATGGAAGGATTTATAATCCTTGCAGTCATCTGATCGTTCACACTCTTTCTGAGAATCATTGAGTCCACTTGGAGGTTTATCTATGCATAAATCTGGGCATTTACTTGGCCACAGATAAACCACCAAGTGGCCTCAATTAGTCTAATGATTGAGTGCTAATGAGCAAATGATTGCTATGGAATAGAAAAGTAAACAGAGTCTATATTTGATTTTACACGTCACTACAGCAGCGAGAATAATCTTTGCGCAATATTGGAAGAATGAAGGAGTGCCATTGGAAGAAGAAATAATCAGAAAAATATTGGAATGTGCAGAGATGGACAGATTAACTATGAGACTGAAAGATAAAAAAGACACAGGTTACTACCAAACTTGGGACTTATTTTATTGTTGGCTAGAGGAAAGGATGAAGGGTTAGGAATCGAATATGTATTAGCATAGCTAACCGCGGACAGCTCGTTGATTGGAAAATTAACAGATGTATGTAAAAGAAAATCAATAAAATCTCTATTAAACACAAGAAAGATGCATTTCGGTCTGGAGAAGATGGATAGATTATATTCAGAATAAATATAGGACTAAAAAGTTCCATTTAGTTTATGAGTAAATTTTAGAGTATTACTATTATTAATAGTTTATTATAGTTGAATTTTTATTAGTTTTATTATTATTTTTAGTATTAGTATTGTTTAACAATTTGGATATTGTATTGTTTAATAATATCGACTTGTTTATATTATTATGTTTATTTTTAATTTGTTTATACTTATGTTAAAGGGGAGTTAAAGCTCATTATGGACTTGGTTATTTATATAGTTGGTTAATGTTAGTTAGAGTTTGATTATTATATTTGTAACCCTGTACTCAGCTCTGGGAAGTGGGGGAGGGAGAGGGGGGGTTTTAGGGTGAGTGGGTTTTGGGGTGTATACTGTAATTTTTATAAAACTTTTCAATTAAAAAAAACTCTATTTAAAAAAAATCCATTCTCCAGCATTCAGTCAGAACCGAAGAAGCTCCCTGGATGAGAAGCGAAATGTCTTCAAGCAAAATAAGAAAGTCCCGTTGCCTTTTGAAAGAAAGCACTTTTGGGACATGAAGGTAAATGAAAGGAAAAACCTAGGTGGATTGGAAGCTTCGAACATAGAGTCCTAGGGCTGGAAGAGACATCAGAGGTCATCTACTCTGACCCCCTGCTCAAGGCAGGAGACCTTATCCCGGACTTTATAAGGCTTGTGGACTTTAAGATGCCTGGCTGGGGAACTCTGGGAGTTGAAGTCCACAAGCCTTAAAGTTGCCGAAGTTGGGACGCTCCAGTCTTAAACAGAGCGGGCGGCAGATCCTGAAGCGAGATGGGTGGCATATAAATTTAATAAATAAATGAAATAAGATCAGGATTGTGGCTGGGGATGGAGCCGTTTCTGTAGGAACAGAGGAATGAGAAGGGAACGATCAACTGGAATGGGTCGACCCTAAGATCAGAGGTGGAGGTGAAGCCTGAACAGAAAACCACAACTGCAGAAAAGCAGTCAGGAGAGCTTTAAACATGAGAAACATTATAAGATATAAAGACTTACTAACAGATATGGGGGAGTTGAAAACCAAACAACAATTAAGAGGAACAAGGAATAAAGATGGATTGGTACATGAGAACGCAAATACAATCTAGATATGAAAAAGATGTTAAAATGGATGGTGTTAATTTGGGGACAACAGAGTTAGATGAAATACTCACAGGAACGGAAGAAAAATGAATTAAAAAAATGTATAGTTATCTACCACATATGGAGTTAGAGGAGGAACAAGTGAAAGAGACAATGATAAAATGGACAAGAAATTTTGGATTGATTTGAATTAGATAGATGGCAGCAACTATGGGAAAGAAACTATAAATTGACAATGGCGACTGCGTATAAAAAAAATATGTACAAAATGTTTTACAGATGGCACATGTCTCCAGAAAGATTAGCTAAAATGTTTAAGGACAGGTCTATGAAATGTTGGAAATGTCATCAGATACCAGGTTCCTTCTACCATATGTGGTGGATGTGTGTAGAAGCTAAAACTTATTGGAATATAATTAGAACATGGATAGAAAAGATGACACAACAACGTATAGAACTAAGACCAGAAATATTCCGGTGGGGTATTGTACCAGGGAAATACAATAAAGAGAAAACATATTTAATTATTCGTATAATTACGGCAGCCAGGATTGTGTTTGCACAAAATTGGAAAGCACTGAAAGCCCCCCCCCCCCCCCAGAGGGAGAGGTGATTGGGAAAATACTGGAATGTGCAGAAATGAATAGACTAACAATGACAATTAAAGATAAGACAAAGTCAGACTACTATGAAATCTGGGGAACTTTTTATGATTGGCTGAAAAGAGAATACGGTTAAAAGATAGTTAACATCAATTTAGATGGAAGAAGAAGGAGCAGATAAGGACCCAGGCGACACAGTATTGAATAACTGGAGGTTGTATAAATATTTATAGAAGTATATAACGAGAAAGTTAGATAAATAGAAGTATTAATGTAAGAGAAAATTAATCTTATTGTATATAATACAGATAGGGAAATTTGGAGAGAGGAGTTGCTCGGACATTACCCCTGAATTGTATCTGAAGAGGGATGAGAGGGAAGAAAGGAGAGGAGAGAGAAAAGAGTAAAGAAGAGGAGAAGGAAGTAGGAAGGCTGGAGGAGAAGAGGAGAAGTGGGGAGAAAGGGGAGGAGAGTGGTGAAGGAAAGAGAAGATGAGAGGAAGAAGAGGGAAGTAGGGAAGAGAAGAAAGGGAGAAAGAAGGTAGAGAAGAAGGAGTGTGGACACAGCGAAAGGGGAAATGGGTGTATGTATTTATTTCATTTTATTAAAAGTATCTTATATATCAGTGGTTCTCAACCTTTTTAATCCCGCGACCCCCAACCGGTCGTAAGTCGAGGACTACTCAACCGGTCGTAAGTCGAGGACTACTCAACGGGTGCAGCACCGTTTGCAGAATGGGACTTTTGGCGGGCTCAGCAGGGCAGAGACAGTCTGGACAATTCCTATTGGCTTTGGAAAGCCAATAGAATTAGACTCTATTCAAGAGAGTCTATTCTATTGGCTTTCAGAAGCCAATAGAATAAAAGGGAGTAGCACAGCTAAGGAAAAGGGGGAAAAAATGGCGGACTGCGTTGTTTGACGACCCCCGTGAAATGGTCGTTCGACCTCAAATGGGGTCCCGACCCACAGGTTGAGAACCACTGGCCTGGACAATTCCTATTGGCTTTTGAAAGCCAATAGAATTAGACTCTATTCAAGAGACTCTATTCTATTGGCTTTCCAAAGCCAATAGAATAAAAGGGAGGAGCACAGCTAAGGAAAAGGGGGGGGGGAAATGACGGACTGCGTTGTTTGGCGACCCCCATGAAATGGTCGTTCGACCCCAAATGGGGTCCCGACCCACAGGTTGAGAACCGCTGTTATATATGAACGTAAAAAGAATGCATGTTAACATCTGATAAATATCACGGTATATGTATGGGGGAGAGTTTGGAAAAATAAAAAATTACAGAGCTTTAAACTTCTCCCTGGCTAATGGACCATATGGTCCTTCTGGATGTGGCCCGCTCACCTGCCTGGTGAGGCCTCCTCCTTGGAGCTGCCACGATGTGGAGCAGGTGGGCGGCTGGTTGCCAGGACACTGGCCTTCTCCTGTTCCTCTAAAAGCTTCCCAACGGGACAGATGGGACTTTCCTCAAAGGAATGTTTCCGCCCAACGGATCTGGGAAGAGAAAGAAGCTGAGCAGAAGATGGATGGGAGAGCCGGGGGGGGGGGTCTCCCGCCTCACGAATGTCCAGCCTTTGAAGGAAGAATGAGAGGAGACTGCAGGAGTCCTCCTTTAAGCAAAGGGTGGGAGGGGGCTTAGGCCCACCTTCCCCAACCAGGTGTCCTCCAGGAAGAAAGATCTGATCTGAGGAGAACCGAAGATCTTGACGACATTTTTGGACCACGGGGATGGTGAAAAAACGTGACCCAAACCATCTGTAGATGTGGATCGTGGTGAGACAGACAGACCTTTCCCCACCAGTTTTTCGTCGCAAACCTTTTTATGAAAACCGTGTCTGTCTGTTTTGAAATAAACTCTGCCCAGGGTCCGTTTTACCCCCCCCCCCAAAAAAGTCCAGCTTTCTCCCAAATTCCCAACTCGGCCTTACTTGGTGTGCTCCAGATTGGTCCGTGAGGCCGGATGGGGCAGCTTCCCCTTAGCAGCTCCGGTCTCGTCTTTGTCGACGCTGATCCATTCTGAAGAGGAGGAAGGGGGGGGGGACAATCTCAGGGTGGGGGTGGGGGGTGAAAGGGTGACCCCCCCACTGCAAGCAGCCCTGGCCCAGATGGCTCTGTGGGGAGTTGTGTCTTTGCATCCCAGCCATGTAACAAGCAACTGTCTTAGGAATCTACGGATGGGGTGTGTAGGTGTGTGTGTGTGTGTGTCTTGAGAAGTTCTGGATTCAGATCTAATCAGATCTAATATATCAACACAGACAAGCAAGGGACCACCAAGAAGACCCTCACCAATTCTGGCAGGGCAAACCATTCAATAGAGAGCAACCCCCCTGCCCTTCTAGCACTGATGATGTTCCTTAGTTGGGTCACAAAACGTCTGCAAGAAAACCAAGCTCAGAGAGCACCAAGGACCCCACAGTCTGTCCTTCCTTCCTTCCTTCCTTCCTTCCTTCCTTCCTTCCTTCCTTCCTTCCTTCCTTCCTTCCTTCCTTCCTTCCTTCCTTCTTCTCCTCCTCCTCCCTTCTAGCACTGATGATGTTCCCTAGTTGGGTCATGAAACGTCTGCACGAAAACCACCAAGCTCAGAGAGCACCAAGGAACCCACAGTCCGTCCTTCCTTCCTTCCTTCCTTCCTTCCTTCCTTCCTTCCTTCCTTCCTTCCTTCCTTCCTTCCTTCCTTCCTTCCTTCCTTCTTCTTCTCCTCCTCCTCCTCCTCCCTTCTAGCACTGATGATGTTCCCTAGTTGGGTCATGAAACCTCTGCACAAAAACCACCAAGCTCAGAGAGCACCAAGGACCCCACAGTCTGTTCTTCCTTCCTTCCTTCCTTCCTTCCTTCCTTCCTTCCTTCCTTCCTTCCTTCCTTCCTTCCTTCCTTCCTTCCTTCCTTCCTTCCTTCCTCCTTCTCCCACTGATGATGTTCCCTAGTTGGGTCATGAAACCTCTGCACAAAAACCACCAAGCTCAGAGAGCACCAAGGACCCCACAGTTCTCCTCCTCCTCCTCCTCCTTCTCCTCCTAATCCTCCCTCTTTCACTCTGCAAACCCCCCCACCCTTCTAGCACTGATGATGTTCCCTAGCTGGATCATAAAACGTCTGCAAGAAAACAGCCAAGCTCAGAGAGCACCAGGGACCCCACAGCCGCCCTCTTCCTTCAGCACCTCCTCCTCCTCCGTGAACCCCCCCCTTCTAGCACTGCTGATGTTCCCTAGTCAAGTCATGAAAACCTCTGCAAGAAACACACCAAGCTCAGAGGGCACCACGGACCCCTTGCATCTAACCGATCCCCACCCTACCCCAGGTGGGTCTCTCCTATTATCCAAAGGCCAGCGATTCAGCCCGCCCGCCCGCCTGGGAAGCTTGCTCCTCTCCTCCCAACTCACCATACAGCCTCTCACGAGTTCCCATCCGTTCTGCCGGGACCCGAACCCTCATGGACCCCCGAATGTTGCCCGTCTCCTCCCCCCGGTGGGAGAGGTAGGTGAGGAACTGCTGGGCCGTACTGCCGATCATGGATTTGAGGGCGATGACGCATTCTCCTGGGGAGGGAAGCAACGGCGCAGGTGGGCCGGGAGCCACAAGGAGAAGTGATCTCCGGGTGGGTTGACCCCATGGCCAACGGCCTGGATGCTCGAAAGGTAGCTTGACCAAAGCCTCCAGGAATGGATCTGGGTGACCCACCCTCTCCGAGCTCACAGTTTCAGACCTGGGGTGAATCCGTCTATGGCAGGGGTAGGCAACCTTGGCCCCTTCATGACTCGTGGACTTCAACTCCCAGAATTCCTGAGCCAGCATGGGGAACTATGGCCCCTTCATGACTCGGAGACTTCAACTCCCAGAATTCCTGAGCCAGCATGGGGGAACTATGGCCCCCTCATGACTCGTGGACTTCAACTCCCAGAATTCCTGAGCCAGCATGAGGGAAACTATGGCCCCTTCATGACTGGTGGACTTCAACTCCCAGAATTCCTCAGCCAGCATGGGGGAACTATGACCCCCTCATGACTGGTGGACTTCAACTCCCAGAATTCCTCAGCCAGCATGGGGGGAACTATGGGCCCTTCATGACTGGTGGACTTCAACTCCCAGAATTCCTCAGCCAGCATGGGGGGAACTATGGTCCCTTCATGACTCGTGGACTTCAACTCCCAGAATTCCTCAGCCAGCATGGGGGAAACTTTGGCCCCTTCATGACTGGTGGACTTCAACTCCCAGAATTCCTCAGCCAGCATGGGGGAACTATGACCCCCTCATGACTGGTGGACTTCAACTCCCAGAATTCCTCAGCCAGCATGGGGGAACTGTGGCCCCTTCATGACTGGTGGACTTCAACTCCCAGAATTCCTCAGCCAGCATGGGGGAACTGTGGCCCCTTCATGACTCGTGGACTTCAACTCCCAGAATTCCTCAGCCAGCATGGGGGAACTATGGCCCCTTCATGACTCGTGGACTTCAACTCCCAGAATTCCTTAGTCAGCATGGGGGAACTATGGCCCCTTCATGACTGGTGGACTTCAACTCCCAGAATTCCTCAGCCAGCATGACTCAGCTTGGAAACCTCTCCCTTTCCCCTCAGCATGGCTAGCTCAGGAATTCTGGGAGTTGAAGTCCACGAGATAAAAGAGCCGAGGTTGCCTACCCCTGGTTATGGAGATTCTCAGATTCTTCAAAAGCCAATAGAATAAAAGGGAGTAGCACAGCTAAGGAAAAGGGGGAAAAAATGGCGGACTGCGTTGTTTGGCGACCCCCGTGAAATGGTCGTTCGACCCCAAATAGGGTCCCGATCCACAGGTTGAGAACCACTGACTTAGCTGATCAAGGTGGACAAACCAATCAGTCTGCTCATATCTTCCCATCTGGAGTTCTGTGACAATCTACACTAGAGCAGGGCTCCCAAGCCTTGGGCTGTGGACCAGTACCGGGCCACGGCCTGTTAAGAACCGGGCCGCATGGATGGCAAGTGAGCGCAATTTTAACTGCGCATACGTAGGATCTATCCCGCCTCAGTCTGTGGAAAAACCTTCCTCCACAAAAATGATCCCTGGTGCCAAAAAGGTTGGGGACGCCAGTGATCTGCAGAGAAGACCTTGTCTCCGTGACATGGAGAAGATCCGTGACTCTGGGGAAACTATGCAGGAGTTCAAGATGGGGTTTCTCCAACCTTGGCAACTGTAAGATGGGTGGACTTTCAACTCCCATAATTTGCTCCCTTGCAAAGCGGGGAGTGGCGAGGGGTTCCACAACAAGGATGAGGACTTGGAGACCCACTAGAGAGTTTCAGCTCCTCACCGTAGGACTCGTAGCCATCCAGAGACTTGACGGTCAACAGGATGTGCTGGTCTTGCAAGTATTCAATGTCAGAGAGGATCGGCTTGAGCTGTGAACAGAGAAGGCAGAGATGGTGGTCACATTACCTAGTGGTGTTCCTGAGGATCAGCTCTGGAGCCCCTCCTAATGCAGGGAAGCTCTGATACTTGCTCTTCCAGAACGTTCTTTGCTGCCCTCTTCCCATCCTTCTTCTCCCTAAGCTTCCCTCCTCTACTATCAAAGACCTTTATAGCCAAAGTTGACCTTCTGGTTGATGAGGAGAAAGAACTCACCGTGGGCAGTTGTCTGGAGGACCACTGGACCTTCAAGAAGTTGATGTTGTCACTGCTCTGGGAATCGTTCTCAAAGCTCTTTTTGAACTCTGGGAGGAAAAAGAAGAGATAAATTGTAGAGGGCCATGGAGATGACCTTAAAGGAAGTAGACTGAGGTGTTTTCAAAATGGAGAACATGTTTTAAGGCTGGGAAACAAAGACAACATTAAGAAGAAACTCACTTTGGCTTCCTCCTACTTTACTGAGGAAGGTAAACACACGTATTCTGGATTCTGCTTATCTCAATAAAACATAGCTCCAGTCCATGTTTGGAATCTATGTCCAGAGTTGGACTACCTTGAAGGGTTGACACCAGTAAAGGTCTCTAGATGTGGCCTCTAACTGCCGAGTAAAGAGGTCACACTGCCTTCTCTGCAAAGAAATGGGTGATGCTTGGGAGAAATTGGGAGAGTTTTCTGCCAAATCATAGGGTCCCCATATGGATTAAAAAGTTCAGATGACCACCAATGAGTGGAAGAGCAGGAATAGGCTGATTTGGTTTCTCATGACGGTCACTAGAACCTGGAAGAGATCAACTGGATTCTGGGTCAAGGCTGCTGAAACCATTTAGGGGGCAGGTTTTCTCAGCCTGAGCAACTTAAGATGTGCGGACTTAATTTCTTCAACAGTTCTGGCTTCCGTTGAAGATTAGTTTTCACAAGTCTTTGTATTACTGTATGTAACTGAACCCAGTATTTTCCAACATTTTTTGCAAATCCACAAAACATGATGAGTCCCTTCCAGTTTTCAACATTACTAGAGTATCTTCAACTATGTGGGAGGGTCCTTGGTGCTCTGTGGCTTATCAAACGCTGGGGAGGAGGTTCTGAGTAAAGGACCTCTATAATTGACGGAGGAGATCCTCCTTGGAGTTCACCTACTATGGGCACCCTCACCTTCCAGACACGTGGAGTAGAATTCGATGAAAAATTTAGTCCTGCTGGCTGTCTTCACAATGGCTTCGATGCTCTCAAACTCGATGTAGGCCTGGTCTGAGGACTTGGAGAGTCCTAGAGATGGAGAAGAAGGAACAACATGACTTTCTCCAAATCTGTTGTAATAAAAATGTAAAGCAGCCCTGTGGAACCAGGCCTTAACTCCAGGTTTGTTTCACTCAAGTGTTGCAGAGCAGCCATTCCTGTTGCCCTAGTCTCCCAGTCGGAAGGCGGGATCAAAAGGGGAGTAAGCATGGACCCGTTAGGTTAGGGGTAGGCCACCTTGGCTCTTTTATGACTCGTGGACTTCAACTCCCAGAATTCCTGAGCCAGCCATGCTGAGGGGAAAGGGAGAGGTTTCCAAACTGAGCCAGGCTGGCTGAGGAATTCTGGGAGTTGAAGTCCAGGAGTCACGAAGGGGCCAAGGTTGCCTACCCCTGCATTAGGTAAACATGAGTCCCACCCCCTCCCACGCCTTTGAGCCTTATCTAGTCTTTCCCTGATGAATTTGTCAGCCTGGGAAGATTCCTATAAAATGGGCAGAGAACAATAAAGTAGATAGTTTGAACTCTACCCGTCTGGATCTTGTTCTTTGGGCCAATGACCAAACAGAAGTCTCTGAGATGTTCACACAATTACACACATGAGGTCCTTGATGCTCTATGAGTTTTGTTTTCTTGCAGACATTTCATTACCAAACCCCTCCTCCTCCTCCAGCTCCACCAGTGGTAGTAAAGGAGTAGGGTTTGCAAGTACTAGCCCAGGGGTAGGCAACCTTGGCTCTTGTATGACTCGTGGACTTCAGCTCCCAGAATTCCTGAGCCAGCCATGCTGAGGGGAAAGGGAGAGGTTTCCAAGCTGAGTCAAGCTGGCTCAGGAATTCTGGGAGTTGAAGTCCACGAGTCATGAAGGGGCCTAGCCTAGGCCAGGGGTAGGCAACCTTGGCTCTTTTATGACTCGTGGACTTCAACTCCCACAATTCCTGAGCCAGCCCTGCTGAAGGAAAAGGGAGAGGTTTCCAAGCTGAGCCATGCTGGCTCAGGAATTCTGGGAATTGAAGTCCTCGAGTCATGAAGGGGCCATAGTTCCCCCATGCTGGCTCAGGAATTCTGGGAATTGAAGTCCTCGAGTCATGAAGGGGCCAAAGTTTCCCCCATGCTGGCTCAGGAATTCTGGGAGTTGAAGTCCATGAGTCATGAAGGGGCCATAGTTCCCCCATGCTGGCTCAGGAATTCTGGGAGTTGAAGTCCAGCAGTCATAAAAGAGCCAAGGTTGCCTACCCCTGCACCAGCCACTAGCACGGATGAGGTTAGCTAGTTTGGTGATGAAACATCTTTAAGAAAACAATGAAGCTTAGTAGAAACTAATCGTTATTGACTGTCTTTTAAATATAAACCCAGACAACCCGATGTTTACCAAATAATAAGGTGATTATGTAAAAAACAATTAACAAAATGTATTCTTTTAAAAAGAAAACAATCAAGCTTAGACAGTACCAAGGAACTCACAGCTGAATCCTGAGCTACAAATATTCTCTTTTATTAATAATTATTGTTGATTCTTGTCATTGGTATTCTGGAGGTGGCATGCTTTTAAGATGGATAGCCCTTAAAGGACCTCTCCCACATGGATTGAAGCAAATCCAGGTTAATGGATTCACCATACATTGAAGAAGCAACTTCCCCAGGTTAACGATACGCTTGTGAAGAAGTGCTCCTCCTGTTTGTTTTAATCTTTTTTTCCCTCAGGTTTCTTAATTGACCCCTGGTTCTACTGTCTGGGGCAGAAGTGAAAAACTTCTGATTTAATATGGTGGGAAATAGGTAACTCTTAGGAAATAGAACAAGATTATATTCAAATAGATAAAAGGTGTATTTTGGATATACATAGTTTGTCATGAAGTGAGATAAGAGAAATTTTGGTTACCCAAAGACTGATAATTATAAATATCAAAGGTTAAATTGGTATATTGATAAGAAATTAAAAACTGAGTGAAAATCAATAACAGGACATGGATGCTTTATGAAGACTGAATGTAATTAAGATATGTACAAACTAAAAATTTATTGATTAAATGTAATAATGACGTTTTTATTGAGTTGATAGAATTAGAAATGTACTAACTAACCTGAATACGAGACAGTAAACGTTAAGGGGAAAAAGAGAAGAAATATCTGATGCTGTAACCTGAGATTTACACTAAAGATTTTGTTATTGAACTATGGATTAACCCAGTCACCGTGTTGCTTTTTAAATATTCAAATGTAAAATTGGAAAATTAATAAACTATTTTTTAAAAAAAAAATGAAAAACTTTTTCTCTGGATAAACTCCTTATTGGAGCATTTATTCACACACACAGGCACCCACATGCATGCACACACCACCCAAGCCCCTGGAAATACCTTTTTTGGAAACGAACTGGGAGGTGACTCCAACTTCAAAGGCTGCAAAGACTGGCGAGTGGTCGCTGCTCATGATGTCATCCGTACAGCCTGACCAAGAAAAGAAGAGATGCCTTCAACCATGGAGGGAATCTACCCTTCTCCCAAGAGGAAGAGGAGGAGGAGGAGGAGGATGGACCAAGGAACCCCATGGAACTGGGGTGGACAGGAGTTTGGCCAAGGGACTGTCCACAAAGCCTGAAGTAACTCATAGTTGTATGAGAGGGAAGATGAGGAGTTGCTTGCAGATGAAGAGGTCAGTGGTCCAGCTATGACCACATCCAGGGAAGCCCAAAGGGCCACTGTGGTGTGGAACTCACCATAGGAGATGCTGTTGATGTGGGTCTCTGGGTAGGACTTCCAAAGGATGCGGTCACACCAGGAGGGGACATTGGTCCTCACCTGGACAGGGAAAATAAGAGACGTTTTGGATATTGGGTCAAGAGCACTCAACTATATTGGCTGGACCAAATATCTCAGGGGCTGCCCCAAAGAAGAGGGAGTCAAGCTGTTCTCCAAGGCGCCTGAGGGCAGGACGAGAAGCAACGGGTGGAAACTAACCAAAGAAAGAAGCAACCTAGAACTAAGGAGAAACTTCCTGACAGTTAGAACAATTAACCAGTGGGACAACCTGCCTCCAGAAGCGGTAAATACTCCAACACTGGAAGTTTTTAAGAAGTGACTGGACAGCAATTTGTCTGAAATGGTATAGGGTCTCCTGCCTAAGCAGGGGGTTGGACTAGATGACCTCCAAGGTCCCTTCCAACTTTACTATTATCATTATTATTATTAAATGCTTTTAAAAAAAATAATCCAGGCTCTAAAGGTGGAGGAAACAGCCAAGTAAACCTCAGGGAGGTCATGTCAGATCTACAGAGCTTCTTGGAGTCACTCAGAGATGTTTGGAGTCCATTGGTGATACCCAACCCAAGGTAGATGGATGTCCTGCCTTTGGCCAAGACAACAAGACACCTCAAGTGAGCGAACCAGGAGATGGAGGTTTTTCCATTGGTTCCTGGGTCACACTGATGGGTTAGAGCAGTGTTTCTCAACCCTGGCAACTTTAAGATGCGTGGACTTCAACTCCCAGAATTCATCTTTAAGATTTGTGGACTTCAACTCCCAGAATTTCCACTTTAAGACACGTGAACTTCAACTCCCAGAATTTCCATTTTATGATGCATGGACTTCAACTCCCAGAATTTCTACTTTAAGACAGGTGGACTTCAACTCCCACAATTCCACTTTTAAGATGCCTGGACTTCAACTCCCAGAATCCTACTTTAAGACCCGTGGACTTCAACTCCCAGAATTCCACTTTAAGACGCGTGGATTTCAACTCCCAGAATTCCACATTAAGACGGGTGGACTTCAACTCCCAGAATTCAACTTTAAGATGCACTGACTTCAATTTCCACAATTCAAATTTAAGATGCGTGGACGTCAACTCCCACGTGTGCCACATGGAGTGGCTGGAAGAGCTCAACCACAGAAAACGCCCACGGTAGGTCTGGACTCTTTTGATGGCCATTCAATCTGGGTCACCTGCCTAGGGAGCGCACCCCCACAGCTTCTGCCCCTCCCCCTCCCCCTCCCGAACCCCACAAAACCAGCTCCCCCAGGACCGACCAGCTACTTACCCCTGTGGGCTTCTGCTTGTGCCATACGTAGGTATCGCGGGACCCCCGCTCGTAGCGGTAGGTGGGAGGGAAGATGATCTCCTCCTCACCTGGAAGAAGAAGAAGAAGAGGCAAGCCAGAGGTCAGAGGTTGTGCCCCCACCCCAAAGCCCACCTGGCCCCAGTTTTATTGGGGGGGGCTTTGAGCAGGGTGAACAGTCTCTTGTGGGAAGGGTAAAGGGGTGGGGGAGTAAGAGAGCAGCAAGGACCCCACAATAATCCTCCTTCTCCTCCCCTTCCTCTTTGCAAACCCTCCTCCCTTCTAGCACTGATGATGTTCCCTAGTTGGGTCATGAAACGTCTGCAAGAAAACCGCTCAGCTCAGAGAGCCCACAGGAGCCCACAATCCATCCTTCCTTCCTTCCTTCCTTCCTTCCTTCCTTCCTTCCTTCCTTCCTTCCTTCCTTCCTTCCTTCCTTCCTTCCTTCCTTCCTTCCTTCCTTCCAACACTGATAATGTTCCCTAGTTGGGTCATGAAACGTCTGCAAGAAAACCACCCAACTCAGAGAGCCCCAAGGATCCCAGTCAGTCCTTCCTTCCTTCCTTCCTTCCTTCCTTCCTTCCTTCCTTCCTTCCTTCCTTCCTTCCTTCCTTCCTTCCTTCCTTCCTTCCAACACTGATAATGTTCTCTAGTTGGGTCATGAAATGTCTGCAAGAAAACCACCCAGCTCAGAGAGCTCCAAGGACCCACTGTTTTCTTCCTCCTCCTCCTCCTCCTCCTCCTCCCCCCCCTCCTCCTCCCCCTCCTCCCCCTCCTCCTCCCCCCTAGCACTGATAATGTTCCCTAGTTGGATCATTAAATGTCTGCAAGAAAACAATGAAGCTCAAAGAGCCCCAAGGACCCACAGTCCTTCCTCCTCCTCCTCCCCCTTCCCACTTCTAACACTGATGAGGTTCCCTAGTCGGGTCATGAAACGTCTGCAAGAAAACCGCCCAGCTCAGAGAGCGCCAAGGACCCCCACGGCTCAACCCAACCCAGAGATTCTCCTCTGTGGAGGGCCAGGAGGGACCCCTGGGAAGGGACCTGCTGCTCACTGAATCGCAGGAAGATCTTGTGCTTCTCCTTCTCCAGGTTGAGCTGGTCCACTTTCAGCAGGGGCTCAAACTCCTTGCGGTTGATGTAGTTGAGGATCTCCTAATGGGTGGGGGGGGAAGGACACCCGGCTTTTAATCCGTGGGTCAAGTTCAAGGTCGCTTCTCCCAGTTTCAGGAATCCAGCCCGCATTCCATACTGTGATACCGGAGCGGCCCTCTGTGCATGCTCAGGCGCATGACCCCCTCCTTGATTCCGGCCCCGGCACTGCTCTCCCCCACCCCACAAGACTGTCCTCACCTGGATGTCCATGTCCAGGCGGTAGTTGAGGTCCCCGAACCAGAAGAGGTGGGTGAAGCGGAGGGAGATGTCGAAGGAGCTCAGCTGCTTGTCCCCCAGCACCAACAGGCGCAGGATGTCCAGGTAATTCTGGTTCCTCCTGAAAGGCAAAACTGGGTGTCAACGCTGCAAATATTGTATATTCTTGCTTTTGACAATATGTAGAATTGTCTGGTAATGATGGGGTTAATACAGAGCAGAAGGGGGGTTGGGGGTAAAGCCCGGGAAAGAAAGAGGAAGAAAACCTTTGACTTTCATACTAATTGGATAATGTGAAATATGACGGCTAAGTTAGGAACATGCTGATAATTGAACTGCTCAGAGGAAGAGAACTTAGATCCTAGCATCCCTCCGTTGCGCCCGTGCCGACATTTTGTAACAATAAAAGACTTTTAGGAAAATAAATGCCTGGAAGTTCTTTGGAATGTTTCATTAGCCGGAACCACAACACCGGGAGCTCCTGCAGGCCGGCCTTCACAGGCCCTTGCCCCTTCCTACAGGTAGTCCTCAATTTACGATCAGAACTGACCACATTTCTGTTGCTAAGCAAAAGATGGGTGAAGTGAACTTCACCTTGTTTTACGACCTTTTTTCCCATAGTTTTTAAGTGAATCACAGCAGTTGTTAAGCTAGTCAAGGGGGAGGCAACCTGGGCTCCTTTATGACTCGTGGACTCCAACTCCCAGAATTCCTGAGCCAGCAGGGGGGAAACTTTGGCCCCTTCATGACTCATGGACTTCAACTCCCAGAATTCCTGAGCCAGCATGGGGGAACTGTGGCCCCTTCATGACTTGTGGACTTCAACTCCCAGAATTCCTGAGCCAGCCTGGCTCAGCTTGGAAACCTCTCCCTTTCCCCTCAGCATGGCTGGCTCAGGAATTCTGGGAGTTGAAGTCCAGGAGTCATAAAAGAGCCACGGTTGCCTACTCCTGAGCTAGCCACACGGTCGTTAAGTGAATCGGGCTCCCCCCACTGATTTTGCTTGTCACCAGGTTGCAAAAGGGGATCCTGTGACACCCAAGACACAGCAGCGGTCACAGCCTGCATCCGTGCTGTGTTGTGTGAATACACAGCGTTGTGTTTTGGTGCAATGAGGTGACAAGTGCCGGCAGGCTTCCAACCACGATGGGGAGACTCCAGGTCCATTTTTAGGGTGACTCTTCAGCTGTTTTGAACCCTGCTCAAAGAGGCCTCCAAATTCAACCCCGCCAGTGCTGGGGTTTTGGGGTGGGAGAGAAGAGGGGGCTCACCTGGCGGTCTTCTCGTTGCCGGAGGTGAGGTGACAGTTGACGAAGCCAAAGGAGGTGCCATTGAACATGAACGAGACCCCGACGGCCCCTTTGTTGCCTGCGGGACAAATCCGAGAGGATGCGCGTTACTCGTGAGAAAGAGCCAAGCTGCACTGCCCCACGAATTTAATATTGGATCTAATTGGCCTGGCATGTAGATAGATAGATAGATATAGAAGATAATGATAGATAGATAGATAGATAGATAGATAGATAGATAGATAGATAGATAGACAGACAGACAGATATGGATGGAGATAGATGATAGACAGATATAGAAAGATAGATAGACAGACAGACAGACAGATAGATAGACGATGGACAGATAGAGATAGAAGATAATGATAGATAAGATAAGGTAGACAGATAGATATAAAGAATATAATTAGATGAGATAGACAGACAGATAGATATGGATGGAGATAGATGACAGACAGACAGACAGACAGAGATAGATAGATAGATAGATAGATAGATAGATAGATATGGATGGTGATAGATATAGATAGATTAGATAAATAGATAGAGAGAGACAGATTATAGATTGATAGAGGATAGATAATATAGATAGCTAGATATAGACAGACAGACAGACAGGTACACTGATTGATAATTTGTTATCCTAGCTTTATTATTTTTACAAATAATTCAAGGCGGCAAAGATATCCAACGCACCCTTCCTCCTCTTATTTTCCACATAACAACAACCCTGTGAGGTGGGCTGATTTGGGAGAGAGGGACCGGCCCAAAGTCACCCGGCTGGCTTTCGTGGCTAAAGCAGGACTAGAATTCACCGTCTCCCAATTTCCAGCCAGGTGCCTCAACCACCAGGCCAAACTGGCTCTCCTGAAGCTGCTCTGCCTGTGGCAGGACCGCGTCTGTCGTGGTCCTGGTGCTCTGTGCCCCCCTCCCACCCTTCCGACAAGGGGGCGCAGCACGGCCCCTCCCCCCCCCCAGACGGGCTGCTCCTTACCCAGAGTGTTGGCGATGCCGGTTTTCACGCTGGAGGTGCCCACATGGCTGATCCGGTTCTCGTGTTCCAGCTTCACCAGGACGGCTATTTTGATGTTCCAGAGGGACTGCATGGCAATCTGGGAGGGGGGGACGACAACGAGAAGGGGGGTGGGCTTTAATTGGGGCGCAGAAGAGACCCCCGCGGGCTGTGCGTGTGAAGCCACAGCTTCCCCCGTCGAGGGCTTTGCTGGCGTTGCCGCGTCTCTGATGGGTCTCCGTTTGCCACTTTAGCCAGACCCCCGTTGAGACCCCCACCCATCCAGAAAAGATGGCGCATGGGCTGTTCCAAGAGTGGGCTTCACCTCCCCCCCCTCCCCGAGTCCTCTGCCCTGGCAAAACCAGCACCGGGATCAGACAGGCCTTGTTTGTGTAAGCCGTTTTTGTGGCTTTGCAGACTTGCCTCCTGCTCTGCGGGCAGGCAACTCTTAGCTGGTTTTGGAGGAGAAGTACAAATAGTCCTCAATTTACGACTGGTCAGCAAAATTACGACAAAAGGGGACGTATGGGCGCCCTCGGCAACACAGCTGCCTTTTTACAGTACTTAGGACCATTTCAGGGCCACGCGACCTTGTTTTACGACCGTTTTGTGGAAGATCAGCCCTTCGGAGCCATGGGTTTGACGGCTTTAATCTGCTTAATGGTCCTCGCACATCTGACTGTTTGCTTAATGCAGGGGTTCTCAACCTTGGCCACTTTAAGACTTGTGGACTTCAACTCCCAGAATTCCTCAGCCAGCTTTGCTAACCCCTGTCCTTAATGAATGTTGTAAAAAATCCAAGCTGGTCGTGTGGCTGACCCATTTTATGACTTATGACTGTAAGGGACAGGTCCTATTACAGTCATAACTTGAGGACCACCCCCAAAAGAAATAAAAGAACCAAATGCTCCAAGCAGCTGAGACCCCGGAACTCAAGCAGGTCACCTTAATAATCTGCTTTGACCTTTGCAGGGGCTGGACAAGTTAGGTTTAAAGCAGGGTGGTCCGACCTGGCCAACTTTAAGACCGGTGGACTTCAACTCCCAGAATTCCCCAGCTAGCAGGATCCATTAAAGGGGATGCTGGCTGTCAAGTGGCCACATTTTGATCACGGGACCGTGGAGATGCTGTGACGGTCATTAAGGGCGAGGACGTGTTATAAGTCACTTTTTCCCAGTGCTGTTGCAATCCCAAAGGTGCTCATTCCACGAGGCAACTGGACTTTCTTTGTTTTTTTTCTTTGAAGACGTTTCGCTTCTCATCCAGGAAGCTTGTTCTGGTTCTGACTGGATGGTGGGGAATGGAAGGATTTATACTCCTGGCAGAGAGCTGGTCGTTTGCATCCTTTTTAGAGGGTCGTTGAGGCCACTTGGAGCTTTACCTGTGTCCTCAGGGTCACCTGAGTGGTGCAGATGGGTGTGGAGCCTTTTCTTTGAAGACGTTTCGCTTCTCATTCAAGAAGCTTCTTCAGCTTTGACTGGATGGTGGGGAAGGAAGGATTTATACTCCTGGCAGACAGCTGGCCCTTTGCCTTCTTTTAGAGAGTCGTTGAGGCCACCTGGAGGTTTACCTGTGTCTTCAAGGTCACCTGAGTGGTGCAGATGGGTATGGAGCCTCCCATTCCCCACCGTCCAGTCAGAGCTGAAGAAGCTTCTTGGATGATGATGATGATGATAATAATAATAATAATAATAATAATAATAATAATAATAATAATAATAATAATAATGTTGGAAGGGACCTTGGATGATAAAATTAAACTGCTCTGGGACTTCAGAATTCAAACAGACAAGCACCTGCAACATAACACCCCAGACTTAACAATTGTCGATAAGAAAGACAAAAAAGTCTGGATAGTGGACGTGGCAGTGCCTGGAGACAGCAGAATAGAAGAGAAAGAACTGGAGAAGATAACAAAATACAAAGACCTACAAATAGAAATAGAAAGACTGTGACAAAAGCAAACAAGGGTAGTACCAATAGTAATAGGCTCCTTGGGTGCAATTCCAAAACAATTGGAGCACCACTTGAACACCATTGGCATTGACAAATTCCCTATTAGTCAATTGCAAAACGCGGCCTTACTAGGAACTGCTTCCATCCTGCGACGAGATCTGTAATACCATCAAACATCCACATCTGCCTATTCCAGGTCCTGGGTAAGGACTCGATAGGTAGACAAAATGCCAAATCCAGTTTGAACATCTGGCTGACTTTGCGATGATCAATAATAATAAAGTTGGAAGGGACCTTGGAGGTCATCTAGTCCAACCCCCTGCTCAGGCAGGAAACCCTACGCCATTTCGGACAAATGGCTGTCCAGTCTCTTCTTAAAAACTTCCAATGTTGGAGCATTCATCGCTTCTGGAGGCAGGTTGTTCCACTGGTTAATTGTTCTCACTCAAGTTTCTCCTTAGTTCTAGGTTGCTTCTCTCCTTGATCAGTTTCCACCCGTTGCTTCTTGTCCTGCCTTCTGGTGCTTTGGGGAATAGCTTGACTCCCTCTTCTTTGGGGCAGCCCCTGAGACACTGGAACACTGCTATCATGTCCCCCCTCGTCCTTCTCTTCGTTAAACTAGACATCCTCAATTCCAGCAACCGTTCCTCATATGCTTTAGCCTCCAGTCCCCTAATCATATTTGTCGCTCTTCTCTGCACTCTTTCCAGAGTCTCAACATCTTTTTTACATTGTGGTGACCAAAACTGGATGCGTGACCAAGTGTGGATGAGAAGCGAAACGTCTTCAAAGAGAAACAAGAAAGTCCAGTGGCCTCCTTAAAAAATCATCTTTGGGATAATTATGACCTGGATGATTGAGAAGCGTCAGAGTAGACAGTGCTGTCCTTACTTTGAATGGCCACTAAGCGGTTGGTTATAAGTCAAGGACCATCTGTAAATGCCCCCACTGAAGGCAGATTATCACAGACAAACATCCATTAAGCTTCACTCCAGCCTGCGCTGATAATACTGTCGAGCTGGGTGGCGAAACGTCTGCAGGAAAAGGATCCAGCTCAGAGAATGCCAGGACCCCAAAGTCCACCTCTGAGGGACCCACGTTCTCCACCACAGCGGGAACTGTGACGAGGTGGCACAGCAGTGAGAGTGCAGTACTGCAGGCCACTTTAGCTGACTGTGTTCAGCAGGTCAGTGGTTCAAATCTCACCGGCTCAAGGTTGACTCAGCCTTCCATCCTTCCAGGGTAGGTAAAATGAGGACCCAGATTGTTGGGGGCAATGTAATACACACACACACACACACACACACACACACACACATACACATTGCTTACTGGTGTACACCGCTTAGAGAGTGCTTGCACTTAAAGCGGTATATAAGTCTCATAAATAAATAAATAAATAAATAAATAAACTTCTACCCCCTCCCCAAATTAACGTTGTCTGGGAAAGACACAAAACGACGACAGCAGTCAAGACAAACTATCACGATGGATGTGCTTTGCCGGGCTGGGAAGGCAGAGATGGTGAGAAGGTCCAGCTGACCCACGGAGAGACCCTCGGGGAGGGGGGGGGGGAGAAAGAGGGAGCCGGGACCCCCTCCTGCGCACCCACCAGCCGGTACTCAATCTCCGTGAAGTCCTTGAGGACGCCGCGCAGGAAGTCCACCCACTCCTTGTCCCCCATGGAGTTCTCCTGGGTGCCGAAGACGTAGATGTCGTGGGGGATGGAGACAGTCATCTCGTCCAGGGTCTTGCCCAGCCCCTTCGAGGCAAACCAGGAGGTGATGTTCTTGGAGGGGGGGACGCTGCCTGCAGGGGGGGGGAAGGAGAGGCCAGTGAGGAGGGCCCAGATGGGACTGAGCCCCAGGACGAACAAGGGAGCTTCCCGCACCTCTTTGGGCTGCTAAAATCTGCATTGTGAGCCTTGGCAGAGTTGCTTTGGGTAGTGAGATGGGCAGCACATAAATTTAATAGGAAGGAAGGAAGGAAGGAAGGAAGGAAGGAAGGAAGGAAGGAAGGAAGGAAGGATAACAGAATAGCAGAGTTGGAAGGGACCTTGGAGGTCATCTAGTCCAGCCCCCCCACTCAAGCAGGAGAATCTATGCCATCTCAGACAAGTGGCTGTCCAGTCTCTTTTTAAAAGCCTCCAGTGATGGAGAAGGAAGGGATGGATGGAGGGAGGGAGGGAGGGAGGGAGAAAGGAAAGAAGGAAGGGAGGGAGGAAGGGAGAAAGGAAAGAAGGGAGGGAGGGAGGAAGGAAGGAAGAGAGGGAGGGAGGGAGAAAGGAAAGAAGGAAGGGAGGGAGGGAAGAAGGAAGATAGGGAGGGAGAAAGGGAAGAAGGAAGGAAGGGAGGGAGGGAAGAAAGAAGGAAGAGAGGGAGGGAGGGAGAAAGGAAAGAAGGGAGGGAGGGAGGGAAGAAGGAAGGGAGGGAGGGAGGGAAGAAGGAAGTGAGAGAAAAAGAAAGAGGAAGAGAAAGGAAGGAAGGGTAGAAGGAAAGAAGGAAAGAAGAAAGGGAGGGAGGAAGGGAGGGAGGGAAGAAGGAAGGAAGAGAAAGAGGAAAAGAAAGAAGCGAGGGAGGGAAGAAGGAAGGAAGAGAAAGAGGAAAAGAAAGAAGGGAGGGAGGGAAGAAGGAAGGAAGAGAAAGAGGAAAAGAAAGAAGGGAGGGAAGAAGGAAGGAAGAGAAAGAGGAAAAGAAAGAAGGGAGGGAAGAAGGAAGGAAGAGAAAGAGGAAAAGAAAAGAAGGAAGGAAAGAAAGAAAGAAAGAAAGAAAGAAAGAAAGAAAGAAAGAAAGAAAGAAAGATTTCGTGCACCTTTACGCATGGCGTTTTCAAGAAGAGACTGGACAGCCACTTACCCAGAATGGTACAGGGTCTCCTTCCTTAAGCACGGGGCTGGACTAGAAGACCTCCAAGGTCCCCACCAGCCTCGAGATTCTAGGATTCCTATGGCTAAACCTTTTTTCCCACCCAACCCCTCCTGGACCCCCATTTGAAAAGCCCCCCCCCCTTAGAGAGAGCACTGCCTCCCCCCAGACCCCAAACCCTTTCCCTGGGGTGACACTGAAGCGGCTTCGGGCCCTGGCTTTCTGTTCTCCAGTGCTGGGAAATCTCCCGCCCAGCTGCCCTCCCCCATGTCCCCCAAACTCCAGAAGGCCCCCCTCCTCCCTTCCCCGCCCCCCCGCCCCAGGCTCACCCATGTTCCAGGTGCCAATGAAGATGGAGATCATATCTGGCTCATCCTGGTTGGAGTGTCTGTTCTTCATCAGCTGCAATAGCTGGCAGAAGGCCTCTCGCTTCTGGGGGGGGGGGGGAGACAAGGAAGCCCCAGTTAGTGGGGGGGAGGGGGGGCAAAGTCCCCTCAGAGCTGCCCACAGTCGCTTCACAACTGGACCCCCGGCCCAAAAAGCCCCCCCACCCCCACCCTTTGGGCCTTAGACAGAACAGGAGGGCGGAGTGCACAACAATAAAAAAATACGGGTGGTCCTCCATTTATGACCACGGCCCAGGCTAAAATTTCTGCGGCTAAGCAAGAGGTGGGTTTTGCCCCCCTTTTACGACCTTGGCCACAGCCGTTCAGCGAAACGCTGCGGTGGCTAAGTGGGTCAGGCGGCGGCTAAGGGACTTTTGCCCCACTTTGCAACAGCTTTTGCTACCGTCGCTAAGTAAATCACGGCCGTCGTTAAATAAGCAAGACGGTTGCTAAGTGGATCTGGCTTCCCCATCGTGACTTTGAAGGTCGCAAAAAGGGAGCACATCACACACACACACACACACACAGGACACTGCAGGCGTCGTAAATACGAGCCGGTTGCCAAGTGGCCGGATTTTGATCACGGGACCCCATGGGGAGGCTGCAGCGGTTGTTCATTGTGAAAAACGGCACTTTTTTTTTCAGTGCCGTAGTAACTGGACACTAAAGGAGTCATTGTTAAGTCGAGGAGTGTCTGAACGCAGCCAGCCCAAGTCAGGACGGTCGTTAAATGAGGCGCCCAGGTGATCGCCTTGCTCAACAACCTCAATCCCTGTTCTTCCCCCACTGCTGTCGTTAAGGGACTGCGTCATTAAGTGACCACATGGGTGGTTAAGCATGGGGGGGGGGGAGGAAGACCTTGGAAGGCCTACATTTAAAAATATATGAAATTGGGGGGGGGCACCACTGGGCCCCCAAAACATTGCTCGGCGTTTCAGATTTCTCCCAGCTAAAACACCCGTTCTTAAAACTCAGGAGAAAGGATGTTTGTACTAAACATCTTGTCTGAAATGGGGGAGTTGGACTAGATGACCTCCAAGGTCCCTTCCAGCTCTATTCTATTCTAAGAGACTGGACAGCTGTTTGTCTGAAATGGTGCAGGGTTTCCTACCTGAGCAGGGGGCTGGACTAGATGACCTCCAAGGTCCTTTCCAGCTCTATTCTATTCTAAGAGACTGCCCTTTGTCTGAAATGGTATAGGGTTTCCTGCCTGAGCAGGGGGTTGGACTAGATGACCTCCAAGGTCCCTTCCAACATCATCATCATCATCATCATTATTATCATCATCATCATTATCATTAACCAGCCATCCTTTCAGCCAGCGGCACATCTGCTCCCCGTGTGCCTTTGGCAGCGGGTGGCTTCCATGGAGGTCATCCAAACTCACCCTGGCACTGACGAAGACGAAGTCCTTCCGCTGAGTCTTGTCCTTCTCTTTCTCAAAGACGATCCCCAGTTTATTCTGCACCCGCTGGGATTTGATCAGCTGGCGGACTGGGAGGAAGGGAGGGAGGGAGGGTGGGTGGGTGATCAAGAAACACACACAACTCTGCCTTTCCCTTGGACCCATCCCCAGGAGTTCACGCTGCAGGCAGTCCTCGGTTTACAACAATTCGCTTAGTGACCGTTCAAAGTTAAGGGACCGATGACCGTTTTTCATATTTAACAACCGTTGCGGCGTCCACCGTGGTCATGTGATCAAAATTCGGCCGCCTGGCAACCGGCTCGTATTTACGACGGTCGCACTGTTCCTGGGGGGGGGGTGTCACGTGGTCCCCTTTGGCGACCTTCTGACAAGCAAAGTCAACGGGGGGAAGCTGGGTTCGCTTAATGACCGTGTTGCTAATGTCATAGCTGCGGTGATTCAGTTACCAACCGTGGCAAGAACGGTCGTGAAATGGGACAAAACTCACATCGAATATCTCAGACATTTTAGACTCGGTTGCGGTCGTAAGCCGAGGACTACATGAAGTCACGAGAGAGTTAGGGTGGGAAAATCTATCCAGAAGCCAAAGGAGGAGCAGGAGGCAGCCCCCCCCCCCACAAGATGAAGCCCCCCCCCCCAGGACCTTTGCAGGGCTCAGAGAGGAGAGGAAAAAAGGTGAGAATTCGCTCGCTGGTTTCACTCTGAAGGGGAGTAAAGGCCTTCGGTCCGCGGCAGCCATTGGCCTCCTCCCTCTGGGATGGGCAGCTCCCTCGCCAGATGTTCTGGATGCTTCTGAACCTGCTAGGGGTTCAGTCCTCGAGCTGAGCCCCAAAATTCCTGTTGCTGAGCGAGGCAGCTGTGAAGTGAGTTTTGCCCCATTTTACGACCTTCGTTGAAACAGTCGTTAAATGAATCTGGATGGATGGATGGATAGATGACAGAGATAGATAGATAGATAGATGGATAGATATAGATAGATAGATAGATAGATAGATAGATAGATAGATAGAGATGGATAGATAGATATAGAGATAGATAGATAATGGATGGATAGAGATAGATAGAAGATAGATAGATATGGATAGATGGATGGATGGATGGATGGATGGATGGATAGATAGATAGATAGATAGATAGATAGATAGAGATGGATGGACAGAGATAGATAGATAGATAGATAGATAGATAGATGGATGGATAAATAGAGATGGATAGATGACAGACATAGATAGATAGATAGATAGATAGATACATAGAGATGGATAGATAGATATAGAGATAGATAGAGATGGACAGACAGAGATAGATAGATAATGGATGGATAGAGATAGATAGAAGATAGATAGATATGGATAGATGGATGGATGGATGGATGGATGGATGGATAGATAGATAGATATGGATAGATGGATGGATGGATGGATAAATAGATAGATAGATAGATAGATAGATAGATAGATAGATAGATAGATAGAGATGGATAGATGGACAGAGAGATAGAGATATATAGATAGATAGATGGATAGAGATAGCTAGAGAGAGAGAGAGAGAGAGATAGAAAGAGAGAGAGAGATGAATGAATGAATGAATGAATGAATGAACGGATGGATGAATGAATGCCAGTTGCCAAGGTCCTGTATTTTGATCACATGATCCTGGGGATGCTGCAACGGTTGTTAAGTGGGAAAATGGCCACGTTGCTTTTCGTCAGTGCCATAGCAAGTTTGAACAGTCACTAAATATACGGTTGAATGTTGAGGACTTCCTATAGTCGTTTCCGGTCTAGTCTACTGGGGAGAAGCTAGGCTGGACCCCCAGCCCCACCCCCATCCATCCTGCCTTTGTTTCCATTTAGAGCAGTGGTTCTCAACCTTTCTAATGCCGCAACCCCATAATACAGTTCCCCATGTTGTGGTGACCCCCAACCACTTATACATCACCGGGTGCCAGGGGCGTGGCCAAAGAAAAGGGGGAAAAATGGCGGACATCCTTGTTTGGTGACCCCCGTGAAATGGTCGTTCGACCCCAAATGGGGTCCTGACCCACAGGTTGAGAACCGCTGGTTTAGAGGTTGGCAAACCTTGGAAACACAGCCAGGCGTTTCAGAAGGGGGGGGAGCGGGCCGGGCTGTCCGCCGAGGGAGCAGCCCGCATTCGCAGGCCGAAGTGGGGTGGGGGTCTTACTCTTATCGTGGGTGAAGGTGTTCCAGTCCTCCTGGGAGTCCTTCTGCTTCTTGAGGACCACCAGCTTCCCCCCTTCCACATCCACACTCAAGGTGTACTTCTGCGACTTCCCGATTTTGGTGAGATCGCCCAAGGTCAGGTCCAGCTTCACCTGAAAACAGGAAGGGTTGTGAGACACGCTGCGACACGCAAGGCTACATGTGTTGTGGAGCAGAGGACCACCAAGCGAGGGCGGGGAGAGGAACGGATAGAGAAAAGGGAAGTGGGCAGCCACCCTCTGACGCAAAGCAGAGTCACAGGTTTTCTTGAGGAGCAAAAATCTTTAGCTACAGAGACACGTGAGGGTGTGTGAGAAAGACCTTGACGGAGGGAAGCAAAGGGATAACAGTCGGATAAGAGACCGCTTAGCCCTCAGCCGTACAACGGCTGGAGAAAGAGACTCAAGCTGTAAACGAGACAGTGACAGATCTGTACTTTCAAACTTGCACGATTTGTTTAATGTAACCTTACAATAAAATAGAACTAACTCGTCTGGTCGTGTTTCGTGTCTGGCCCACCTGAGAAGGCGGCCTTACAAAGAATGATCCATTTCATCTGCCTTCCTGCAATGGAGATTTCTGGGACTGCAACACCCAGAATTCCAGACCAGCAGGATGGGTTGAACACCTGCAGAGAAGATGTTACCCTCTATCTAAGGCTCCATAAGAGGAACCTGAATTTCTATCCAGATGATTATCATTACTCTGTTGCTTTGCATGTACACTGAGAGCTTCGGCACCGGAAGACAAATTCCTTGGATGCCTCATCACTCTTGGTCAAATAAAGTATTCCACTCCACTCCTCTCCCTTCCATTCATTCCATTGCAATCCAATCAGTTCATTCCAATTCACTCCAATCCACTCCATTCCATTCCAATCTACTCCACTTCACTCCATTCTATTCTATTCCAATCCACTCCACTCCATTCCATTCCACTCCATTCTATTCTATTCCATTCCAATCCACTTTACTCCACTCTATTCTATTCCAATCCAATCCATTCTATTCCAATCCACTCCTTTCCATTCATTCCACTCCTCTCTACTCCACTCCAATACATCCCACTCCATTTTATTCTATTCCAATCCACTCCAATTCATTCCATTCCATTCCAATCCACTCCACTCCATTCCATTCCACTCCATTCTATTCTATTCCAATCCACTCCATTCCATGCCATTCATTCCACTCCACTCCATTCCACTCCATTTCATTCCAATCCACTCCATTCCAATCCACTCCACTCTGTTCCACTCCAGCCTTTGGGTTCCTCAAGAAGACATGTTTAAATATTGCCCCATATTTCACGGGCTCCAGGGTTTAAAAAAAAAAAAAAACAGACTCACATCCAGCCTTACAATCTTCCTCACCTACCTCGAACGTCTGAACCGGGATGCTCTTCGCTTTGCGAAAAGAGGACTGAGTCTGCCCAGGCTGGGAAGTGGAGCTCATGTTCTGAAGAGCTTTGAGGGCCTGCAAGAGATACGACGGCAGTTCGACCCAGGGCTCCACATCAGCCCCCTCAACCCTCATTCCCCAGCCCCCTTTGCTCAGCAGCACCTCAGGCCGTTTGGCCTCCTTTCCTCACCCCCCCCCTCCCAATTCTGCTCCACACAGCACCAGCCTTGTTGTGAACTCTCAAGCATCGTCCGTGTTCAAAATGGACAATGATTAATGTGTGTGTGTGTGTGTGTGTGTGTGTGTGTGTGTATACACCCTCATATGTATGTTTTCTGAGGTTTTCGCGGGTGTTTGTATGTAGGTCTTTGGTTATTTGGGTTTTCTCCCGCGTCAAATTGGAAGTGTCTTGGCGACGTTTCGAAGAAGTCTCATTCGTCATTTTCAGGAGCACGAAGCTGAAAACACCAGCCTGAAGATGACGAATGAGACTTTGTCGAAACGTCGCCAAGACACTTCCAATTTGACGCGGGAGAAAACCCAAATAACCAAAGACCTTATATATATAGTCTCAAGACTATATCTATATATCTAATCACTCTCTCTCTCTCTCTCTCTCTCTCTCTCTCTCTCTCTCTCTCTCTGTGTGTGTGTGTGTGTATGTGTGTGTGTGTATACATGTGTGAAAATCTACAAAAACAAATATATATATCTGTATATATATATATATACCAATAATATGAGTAAAAACACCATTCCTGGGTATATTCATATCACAAAGATTTAAACAAAACACAAACACCAGGAAGAATTCAATACTAGAAAAAAATTAATAAATACCGAGCTTTCCTTGGAAACTACCAACATCAGCAGGGTTCAATGCTAGTCAATGTGAGAAACCTATATAGGATTAATCAGCGCTTGCATCCGGCTCCTGGACCTCGTTACCGGTCCCAGCAGATTGGGCTGTATTCTGAAAGTATCCACAGCACCAATATCCACCCTCTTCCTGCTTCCCTTTCCTGCACATGCATCACTACCCATCCCCTCATCACAAGTTCTTAGGCTAAGCGGAACCTTCCCCTCCCCCTTTGGGTAATATATATATATATATATATATATATATATATATATATATATGTATGTATGTATGTATGTATGTATGTATGTATGTATGTATGTATGTATGTATGTTTGTTTTCTGAGGTTTTCGCGGGTGTTTGTATGTAGGTCTTTGGTTATTCGGGTTTTCTCCCGTGTAAAATTGGAAGTGTCTTGGTGACGTTTCGACGAAGTCCCATTCGTCATCTTCAGGCTGGTGTTTTCGGCTCCATGCTCCTAGAAAGAAGCATGAAGCCGAAAACACCAGCCTGAAGATGACGAATGGGACTTTGTCGAAATGTCGCCAAGACACTTCCAATTTTACGTGGGAGAAAACCCGAATAACCAAAGACCTCCATATATATGTATATGTATGTGTATGTGTAGCAGCCCCAAATAACATCAAGAAAACAGCCAATATGCACCTTTGAGAGCCTAAAGAATTAAGACCATTGAGTGGACCGATGACGAGGTCCAGGAGTCGTGCACAAAAACTGGTCAGTACTATAAAGGAGACTCCCATCGACCTGCTTTAAGCCCTGATGATGTCGGTAGTGCTGACCGACGAAAGCTTGGCATTAGATTAAACGTTTTTAGTTTAAATTTTTTCCTGGTGTTCATTTTTATTTTTTGTATAATATGGCTCTACCCAGGTTTCGAGTTTTTAATGAAATTAGAAACATATATATGTGTATATAATAATAATAATAATAATAATAGTAAAGTTGGAAGGGACCTTGGAGGTCATCTAGTCCAACCCCCTGCTCGGGCAGGAAACCCTACACCATTTCGGACAAATGGCTGTCCAGTCTCTTCTTAAAAACTTCCAGTGTTGGAGCATTTACTGCTTCTGGAGGCAAGCTGTTCCACTGATTAATTGTTCTCACTGTCAGGAAGTTTCTCCTTAGTTCTAGGTTGCTTCTCTCCTTGATTAGTTTCCACCCGTTGCTTCTTGTCCTGCCTTCAGGTGCTTTGGAAAATAGCTTAATTCCCTCTTCTTTATGGCAGCCCCTGAGATATTGGAATACTGCTATCATGTCCCCCCTTGTCCTTCTCTTCGTTAAACTAGACATACCCAATTCTAGCAACCGTTCCTTATATGTTTTAGCCTCCAGTCCCCTAATCATCTTTGTTGCTCTTCTCTGTACTCTTTCTAGAGTCTCAACATCTTTTTTACATCGTGGTGACCAAAACTGGATGCAGTATTCCAAGTGTGGCCTTACCAAGGCATTGAAGAGTGGTATTAATACTTCGCGTGATCTTGATTCTATCCCTCTGTTAATGCAGCCTAGTACTGTGTTGGCCTTTTTGGCAGCTGCCGCACACTGCTGGCTCATATTTAAGTGATTGTCTACTAGGACTCCGAGGTCCCTCTCACAGTTACTACTATTGAGCATGGTGCCACCTATGCTGTACTTGTGCATTTGGTTTTTCTTGCCTAAATGTAGAACCTTGCTTTTTTCACCATTGAATTTCATTTTGTTAGTTAGTGCCCAGTGTTCAAGTCTGTCCAGATCCTTCTGTATCTGAAGCCTGTCTTCTGGAGTGTTGGCTATTCCTGCCAGCTTGGTGTCATCTGCAAATTTGATGAGTTCCCCATCTATCCCTTCATCCAAATCGTTGATGAAGATGTTGAAGAGTACTGGGCCCAGAACAGAGCCCTGGGGCACCCCACTACACACTTCCCTCCATATAGATGCAGTTCCATTGAGGACCACTCGCTGAGTACGGCCGGTCAGCCAGCTACGGATCCATCTGGTGGTGGTTCTGTCTACCCCACATTTTTCTATCTTGTCAAGTAGTAGGTTGTGATCTACTTTATCAAATGCCTTACTGAAGTCCAAGTAAATTATGTCCACAGCATTCCTCTGATCCACTAATTTTGTCACTTGGTCAAAGAATGCAATAAGATTTGTCTGGCATGATCTATTTTTGACAAACCCATGTTGGCTTTTAGTAATGACTTTGTTTGCCTCTAGGTGTTCGTTGATTCGTTGTTTGATTATCTTTTCCAGGATCTTCCCAGGTATTGAGGTCAGGCTGATAGGTCTGTAATTTCCTGGATCCATTTTTTTTCCTTTTTTGAGGATGGGAACTACATCAGCTCTTTTCCAGTCCTCTGGTAGTTCCCCTGTGTTCCAGGATCTTTGAAAAATATAGTTCAGTGGCTCCGATATCACATCTGCCAGTTCCTTGAGAACTCTGGGGTGTAATCCATCTGGTCCTGGCGATTTGAACTCATCTAGGCTGGACAGGTGCTCCCTAACCATTTTCTTGCCTATCTTAACTTGTGTTTCTGTTTTGTTTTTTATGGCACTATTTTTGATAGGTTGGTCTGTTTTTTCCCTTTGTGTAAAGACAGATGCAAAAAATGAGTTAAATAGTTCTGCTTTCTCCCTGTTGCTTGTCACCTTCTTGCCACTTCCACCCACTAATGGACCAATCATTTCCTTCACTTTTTTCTTGTTTTTTACATGTTGAAAGAAGCTTTTTTTGTTATTTTTGACTTTGGTCGCAAGCCTTAGTTCATTTTGAGCCTTGGCTTTCTTCACTTCATCTTTGCAGGCTCGGGCTATTTGCTGATATTCTGACTTAGTTATGTGCCTTTCTTTCCACTTTCTATACTTGTCCTTTTTATCTTTCAATTTGTCAGAGAGTTCTTTATGCAGCCATGCTGGTTTCTTTTGAGAGCTGTTATTTTTCCTCTTTGTTGCTATTGTGCTAGACTGGGCTTTTATTATCTCATTTTTCAAAATTTCCCAAGCTTCTTGAGTTGTTTTCCCCTTGAGGATTCTCATCCATGGAATCCTTCCCAAGCCCTCTCTAAGTTTATTGAAATTAGCTCTCTTGAAGTCCAGGACTCTAGTTTGACTGTGTTCTATTGGTTGTGCTTCTATAATGTTGAATTCTAATATTGCATGATCACTTCCTCCCAGGGTTCCTATGGCTTCAACACCATCTATCATTTCATCTCTGTTAGTGAGAATTAGATCCAAAATGGCTAATCCCCTAGTTCCCTTCTCTACTTTTTGGGAGACAAAGTCGTCTGCTAGGTTTGCCAGGAACCTGTTTGATCTTCCACTTGGTGCGGAGTTTGTCTCCCAGTTGATGTCAGGGTAGTTAAAGTCCCCCATTACTATTGTGGTGTGCTTCCTACACACCTTAGTTAGCTGACTAGCAAAAAGTTCATCTATTTCCTCTGTTTGGTTGGGTGGTCTGTAGTACACACCTATGGCAATGTCATTTCCCCCCCCCCTTTTATATTGACCCAAATGCATTCAAGACAGTTTTTATCATTGTTGTACTCTATTTCTGTGGAGATGTAGTTATTTCTTATATAGAGAGCAACTCCACCTCCTCTTTTATTCGGTCTGTTTCTTTTAAACAATTTAAATCCCTCTAGCTGTGTGTTCCATGTGTGAGTTTCATCCCACCATGTTTCCGTAATGGCAACAATATCGTATCTGCCCTCGTTAACCTGAACTTCTAGTTCACCCTGTTTGCTGTTCATACTCTGTGCATTGGTGTATAAACATTTGAGTCCTTTGTGGGTGGCCCTGTGTTTCCTTTCTACATAACCTGTGTGGTGCCTGAGTTCCCCTATTGTCTTACCACCTATTTGGTTAGTGCACTTTATGTGGCACTCGCTATTAGAGGCTTCATTTTGATTGGTAGTAAGGTTGGTATTCTTGTCCACACACACATCTATGTTACATGCATATATATGTGTGTGTGTGTGTGTGTGTGTGTATGTATGTATGTATATATGTGTGTGTATGTCTGTGTGTATGTATATAGCATGTGTATATATGTGATACGTATGTGTATGGGCAGATACATACTTTCTTTTGAGAGCAGGCAATAGAATTTTCATTTTTATTGTGGGCCAGTGTGCTAACAGTAAAAAACGACAATCAAGGGTCATCTTATTGTATCTCCTTTCCCAAGGAACTTCAGAGGCTGGAGTTCCTGCCGTCTTTCTAAGTGTCCGTCTGCCACTTTGGGTGCCCATTTATCAGCCCCGCTCCTTGGAAATCTATTTTCTCTTTCCCAGTTGGGTGCCCACCGGAAGCTGGCTATGGATGATGGACTTGAGAGTCTAATTTGTAGAAAGCACCCCAGGGAGGCATGACTGGTCAAACCGCTCAGGCCAAAACGACACAAAACTCTCCCTTACATACAGGTAATCCTCGCCTTACGACCGGAATGTCTGTTGTTCAGCAAGGTGGTTGTTAAGCGAGATGCACTCAATTTTACAACCTTTTTTTTGCCACGGTTGTTAAGTGAATCATTGCAGTTAAGTGAATCTTCCGGTCATAAAGTGAATACAGCTTCTCCCGTTGACTTCGCTTGTAAGGAGTCAGCTGGGAAGATGGCAAAACTTCTGTGATGAAGTGAGATATTTGTTAAGTGAGTTTTGCCCCATTTTATGACCTTTTTTTGCCAGAGCAGTTAAGCGAACCAATGTAGTCGTTAAGTAAGCGTAGCGAAGCTGTCTGAGAGTGTTTACAGGAGCTTAGTTGGGAAGGGGGAGATTGGGACAGCTGTTGCTGGCTTTGGGTGTGGCTGGTGTGGGTGGAGGAGAAGATAGAAAAGAGAAGAAGAAGAGAGGGGTATGTGTGTGTGTGTGTGTGTGTGTGTCCGTGTCCCCGTCCGTCCATCTGTGTGTGTCCGTGTGTGTCCGTGTGTGGCCGGTTGCAGCTCGTCAGGTGAAGGTAAAGGGACTGGAAGTTTTATTTGTTTTCTTCGTAAATGAAGATATTTTAAACCAGTGGTTCTCCACCTGTGGGTCGGGACCCCATTTGGGGTCGAACGACCATTTCACGGGGGTCGCCAAACAACGCAGTCTGCCATTTTTTCCCCTTTTCCTTAGCTGTGCTACTCCCTTTTCTTCTATTGGCTTTTGAAAGCCAATAGAATAGACTCTCTTGAATAGAGTCTAATTCTATTGGCTGTCAAAAGCCAATAGGAATTGTCCAGGCTGCCTCTGCCCTGCTGAGCCCGCCAAAAGTCCCATTCTGCAAACGGGGCTGCACCCGTTGAGTAGTCCTCGACTTACGACCGGTTGAGTAGTCCTCGACTTACGACCGGTTGGGGGGGGGTCGCGGCATTGAAAAGGTTGAGAACCACTGTTTTAAACAGAGGCTAGGGGGGGAAAGAGAGTGGAGTGTTATGGCTTCCTTCGGGAGGGGGATCTCTCAAACGGAGGCAAGACAGAGATTGTGTGGAGAGGAGCTGGCAGAGATTCAAAGCCTCAGTTTTTTATAATAAAGATATAATAATATAATAAAGAGGGGGGAGGGTTTTGACGCTGAAACCTGATGGAAGGAGAAGCAACAGAAAGAGAGGAGACTGGGGGGTGGCAATAGCTGCTGCGAAGCCTGGAAACTATTTGGACTGTGACTATCACTGCTGCTACAGGTTCTAAGTCACAGTGTTTCTCAACCTTGACCATTTTAAGGCATGTGGACTTCAACTCCCAGAATTCCACAGCCAGCAATGCTGGCTGTGGAATTCTGGGAGTTGAAGTCCACATGCCTTAAAATGGTCAAGGTTGAGAAACACTGGACTCTAAAACATTGTGGGGGACTTGCCCTGGGGGACGAGCTATTGCTACAGCACACTGACTGTTGTTGTTTCTACTACTGTCTGGACCCGGGGGTTTTCCTGCATCCCACTTGACTCTGAAACATCGCTGAGGAATCTCTTATTTCTGCTGCTTTATCGGCCTTGGGCTGTTGGATATCATGGTAGCATTGACTATTGTGACTGGTTACTTTTGTTCCTGGAAGCCCTCTCCCCCCCACCCCCGGACGACAAGAGCCTGCTACCTACTAATTTTGCATGGGCTCCGGCTGTAAGAGACATTTTATCAACCCCTAGACCAGTGGTTCTCAACCTTTTTAATGCCGCGACCCCCCAACCGGTCGTAAGTCGAGGACTACTCAACCGGTCGTAAGTCGAGGACTACTCAACTGGTGCAGCCCCGTTTGCAGAATGGGACTTTTGGCGGGCTCAGCAGGGCAGAGACAGCCTGGACAATTCCTGTTGGCTTTTGAAAGCCAATAGAATTAGATTCTATTCTAGAGAGTCTATTCGATTGGCTTTCAAAAGCCAATAGAATAAAAGGGAGTAGCACAGCTAAGGAAAAGGGGGAAAAAAATGGCGGACTGCGTTGTTTGGCGACCCCCGTGAAATGGTCGTTCGACCCCAAATGGGGTCCCGACCCACAGGTTGAGAACCACTGCCCTAGAGAACATTACTGCAGGGTTAGACAAAGGGAGACCGGGCTGGGAGGGGCTGGGTTTTGCGGCCTCTGAGGAGGTAACGCTACATAAGTAACACGGTTGTTAAGTGAATCTAGCTTCCCCACTGGCTTTGCTGGTCAGAAGGTCGCAAAAGGCGATCACGTGACTCCCGGAACGCTGCGACCGTCATCAATAGGAGCCAGCTGCAGGCGGAGGAATCTTGATCACGTGACCGTGGAGAAGTTGCAATGGTCATAAGAGTGAAAAACAGCCATAGGTCGCTGTGTTTGCTGCCCTTGTAATTTCAAATGGTCACTAAGAGAACAGTTGTAAGTTGAGGACTCCCTGTCCTAGGGAACTTAAGCTCAATGGATTGTGTGAACTCGAGAAAGTTCTGACGCTCTGGGTGAGCAGGTCCTGCTGGGCTCCTTGGGGTGAGGGCCCCGTTTGGGGGGGTCACGAAAGCTACCTGAAGAGAGCCATGGAGCTCCTCAGCCACAGACGGTCGAGGAGGCTAGGAGAAGACTCACCTTCTTCTCAATATTGGAGAGGAAGTCCTTCAAGATGGACAGCTTCAAGACCAGAGTGTCCAACTCCTGCTCGCCTGTCTGCCCGGCAGCCTGGAAGTAGACAAGATGGAAAACCAAAGGTTGAAGATGGTGGCTTAGAGGCGCCTTGGACAGTCCAAGGGTGCCAGAATTGAACTAGGCCCAATTGTTCCAGGTGACCTTCTAACGTCCCTCGGCTCCTCGCCAACGTCAGTTGTGAGGAATAACAGAAGAACAGAATTGGAACGCACCTTGGAGGTCTTCTAGTCCAACCAGGGAGACTCTGCCCAGGACGGTCTGCTAGAGGGGCGTGGAGGGAGTCAAGATGGGTGACCCCAACCCCTACAGGTCATCCCCACCTTCATTTGGAGGTCGGGAGACCACAGTAATACAAAAACAGTCCCCATCTCATTTGCTGATAGTTCCCGTAGCCTTTCCACCAACTATCTAAGGAGACTCTCAGTCCTCCAGCTCATCGTTGCCCCAAAGGTGCTGTTTTTCAGGAGACCACTGGACCTTCTTGTTTTTCTTTGAAGACTGATTACTATCCAGTCAGAGCTGAAGAAGCTTCTTAGATGAGAGGTGAAACATCTTCAAAGAAAAACAAAAAAGTCCAGTGGCCTCCTGAAAAAGCAACGTTGGGACTTTTCACCACTGACAATGAATAAAACACAACAACTTATTAAGAACACAATCCTGGTAGCTGTAGACCGCAAACAATCCTGACGTTGCTAATGAAAAACCTACAGAATCTAGGGATGGAAGGTCCCTTGGTGGTCTTCTACTCTACCCACTTGGTAAGGCCAGGGATCCTCAGATCACTCCATGGAAACATCTGCCTGGGCTTCAGGTGAAACCTCCAGAGATGGAGTGTCCATTATCTCCAGGAGGCCGGCTGTTCTGTTGCTTCGTAGCTTACATCCATGTTCCTCAAGGCCACTTTAAGACGGGTGGACTTCAACTCCCAGAATTCCCTGGCTGGGGAATTCTGGGTGTTGAAGTCCACCTGTCTTAAAGTGGCCAAGGTTGAGACACATTGGCCTACAATCTCCACACAACACAATATAACTTCCCCACTCTACCCTGGGGAGGGGAGGAACCTTGAGTCAAGAGACCACCAAAGACCAGAAGAAAGAAGAGCTGTCAATCCCCCCGACCCCTTGGTTCCAGAGGCCCCCTACATTGACCCAGAGATGGAACTATCTACTTTCTTTGGGACATCTTGGTGGCCCTTTCCTCTCAGGCCAGTAACCTTTACCTGCTGAAGGATCCGAGACACCATCGGGGAGCTCTGCTGGTCGAACACCTTGGACAAGATCTCCAGGCCTGCTAAGACTTTGTCCACCTCGCTGGAAGGACAAAAAGTACAGAGGAGTCAGCCTCCTGTTGCAAGCAGACCCTGAGGTTGGGTTCCAAGCCTTTGCAGAAGACTTCATTTAGGACATGTATATGGCTTCCCCACTCACCCACGGTGACTCTGGGGGACTTACCGAAGTAGCATCCCCAAATACAAACTCCAATAATCCCCCTCCCGCCCCCTGGTGACAACAATCACACCAACCCCTCCATGGGTTCCATATCTCTCTGAGGTCTCCATGCTTGTTGGCAGATCCAGGTTTTTAGGGCCTCTTGGAAGAGTGTCAAGGTGGGTACCAATCTTATCTCTGCAGGGATGACGGTCCACCATAGAGAAGGCCCTACTTCTCGGTCCCACCAGATGGACTTCCTTAAGGGTTGTTGTTGTTAGTTGCAAAGTCATGTCCGATCTATCGCGACCCCATGGACAACGTTCCTCCAGGCCTTCCTGTCCTCTACCATCTGCTGGAGTCCATTTAAGTTCACACCTCCTGCTTCAGGGACTCCATCCAGCCACCTCCTTCTCTGTCGTCCCCTTCTTCTCTTGCCCTCCATCTTTCCCAGCATCAGGCTCTTCTCCAGGGAGTCCTTCCTTCTCATTAGGTGGCCAAAGTCCTTGAGTTTCCACTTCAGGATCTGGCCTTCTCAAGAGCAGTTGGGGTTGATCTCCTCCAGGACTGACCGGTTGGATCGCCTTGCAGTCCAGGGGACTCGCAGGAGTCTTCTCCAGCACCAGAGTTCAAAGGCCTCCATTCTTTGGCACTCAGCCTTTCTTACGGTCCAACTTTCACAGCCACACATTGCAACTGGGAAAACCATGGCCTGGACTGTACGCACTTTTGTTGGCAAGGTGACATCTCTGCTTTTGAGTATACTGTCTAGATTTGCCATAGCTTTCCTCCCCAGGAGTGTCCTTAAGGGAGGGGACCCCTAACATCCCCTGCCTCCCCACTCTGGTGGGACGGGTAGATATGACTGGGAAGAGATGGTCCTTCAAGTAACAGGGAGGGAGCCACCCCGGAGAAGGCCCTTCTTCTCAGTCCCACCGGATGGACCTCCTTTAGAGAGGGGTCCTGTAGCATCCCCTGCCTCACTGCTCTGCTGAAGTTCACAAGTCTTAAAGTTAAAATGTCAGCTAAAGTTGAAGTTCACAAGTCTTAAGGTCGCCAAGATAATAATAATAATAATAAGAAGGAGGAGGAGGAGGAGGAGGAGGAGGAGAAGAAGAAGAAGAAGAAGAAGAAGAAAAGAAGAAGAAGAAGAAGAAGGAGGAGGAGGAGGAGGAGGAGAGGAGGAAGGAGGAGGAGGAGGAGGAGGAGGAGGAGGAGGAGGAGAAGAAGAAGAAGAAGAAAAAGAAGAGGAGGAGGAAGAGGAGGAGGAGGAGAAGAAGAAGAAGAAGAAGAGGAGGAGGAAGAGGAGGAGGAGAAGGAGAAGAAGAAGATGGAAGGGACCTCGGAGGTCATCTAGTCCAACCCCCTGCTCAGGCAGGAAACTCTATATCATTTCAGTTTGAAGACCCCGGCTCTACATAAAGTGGAAACACTTCATCTGTGTCTATCAAGACCTCAGTTCGGCCGCCGGAGGTCTCTCCTGCAAAGGCTGACGTTGGTCGGAAGAACGAGACGTCTTGTCATTTTCTCTCCCACCACTGAGATCATTGCTCTGAAACGTCTCACACACAGACACACACACACACACATCGATTTCTAACTGGGAGCCACACCAAAGCGAAAAAAAATGCAAGACGGGGTTAAAATATACCGCTCCGCACATTGTGCTACGTCAGCGAATTCCAGCGCAGCCTTAGAAACAGGGTGTGTGTCTAGCCAAATAAAGCGATTCTGGGCTGGCCGCAAACAGCTCAAGATCCCCGAAAGGAATCGCCAGAGAAGTCCCGTTCTCGGACTTCGTAAGAATCACCGTTTCCGGTTTCGGGGATCCTCCGTGTGTCGTGAGCGAGTTCAGGTCCCCTTGCCTGCCTCGGAGTGTGTTGTCTATAGCAGACGTCCCGCAGCTTTTGGGCAGTAGGGACCATCGATTCCGTGGGGAGAGATTATTCTGTGGACCGAAGGGTGCTGCCTGCATCCCGCGGATGGAGCTTTGCTTGTTTGTGCGGACCGGTTGCTGGCGTGCCGTGGCCCGGTACCGGTCCACGGACCTGGGGTTGGGGACCCCTGGCTTATAGGATCCACTCTGAGTCAGTCACTGGGACCAAAGGTTTTCTCTTCCACACTTCCAGGCTCAGACTGGAGCCCATCATCAGGGAATCATAGAATAACAGGGCTGGAAGGGGACCTCAGAGATCTTCTAGTCCAGCCCCCTGCTCAGGCAGGAGACCTGACAGAATGATGGAAGAATAGGGCTGAAAGGGTCTTCAGAGGTCTTCTAGTCTAGCCACCCTGACAAAGTGATGGAAGAATAGGGCTGAAAGGGACCTTGGAGGTCTTCTAGTCCAGCCCCCTGCTCAAGCAGGAGACCCTACAATTTGAGACACGTGGCTGTCCAATCTCGTCTTAAAAACCTCCAGTGATGGAGGAGCCACAATTTCTGGAGGGCAAATCACTCCATTGGCTAATTGTTCTCATTGTCAGGAAATTTCTCCTCAGTTCTAGGTGGGTTGATGTTGAGGGAATTTCTCTCTCCCCGCAATAAGGGACTGGGCTGCTCTATTCAAAGTATTGATATAGTCCAGGGGTAGGCAACCTTGTCTCTTTTATGACTGGTGGACTTCAACTCCCAGAATTCCTGAGCCAGCATGGGGGAACTTTGGCCCCTTCATGACTCATGGACTTCAACTCCCAGAATTCCTGAGCCAGCATGGGGGAACTTTGGCCCCTTCATGACTCATGGACTTCAACTCCCAGAATCCCTGAGCCAGCATGGGGGAACTATGGCCCCTTCATGACTCATGGACTTCAACTCCCAGAATTCCTGAGCCAGCGTGGCTCAGCTTGGAAACCTCTCCCTTTTCCCTCAGCATGGCTGGCTCAGGAATTCTGGGAGTTGAAGTCCACGAGTCATAAAAGGGGGAAGTTTGAAGACCCCTACCCTAATGTGTCTTTTGGAGCAAAAATTAATATAAGACCCGGTCTTATTTTCAGGCAAACACAGGGTATAAGCCAAGGGTAGGCTACCTTGGCTCTTTTATGACTGGTGGACTTCAACTCCCAGAATTCCTGAGCCAGCATGGGGGAACTGTGGCCCCTTCATGACTCGTGGACTTCAACTCCCAGAATTCCTGAGCCAGCATGGCTCAGCTTGGAAGCCTCTCCCTTTCCCCTCAGCATCATTGGCTTAGGAATTCTGGGAGTTGAAGTCCACGAGTAATAAAAGAGCCAAGGTTGCCTACCCAATATAGTCCCAGATGGAATGTTGCTTTAATTGTTATTTAGGGTGTTGATGGATGGCTATCAAGTCCTTAATTATTGCTTTCCTGTGCCACTGTGCCCTCCGCTCCAAACTACAGGTAGTCCTCAACTTATAACATTTCATTTAGTGACCATTCAAAGTTCCAACAGCACTGAAAAAAGTAACTAAGACCTTTTTTTCATACTGATCAAAATCCAGACCTTTGGCAACCAGTTCATATTTACGACGGTTGCAGCATCCCCGGGTCACTTGACCCCCATTTTGCGACCTTCCGACAAGCGAAGCCAGATTCACTAACGACCATATGACTAACTTAACCAATGCAATGATTCACTTAACAACGGTAGCAAGAAAGGTCGTAAAACGGGGCAAAACTCACTCAAACACTTCGCTTAGCAACATACATTTTGGGCTCAATCGTGGTCGTAACCCGAGGACTGCCTCTCTACCTGATAGGCAAGCAGTAAATCAGCACTCCCGTTAACCGACAAAGGGCCCGTTTCCCAGGCTTCAGCCGTTCCTCTGGCTGTTTTTGTCCCTGCTCGGCCAACAATCGTGGTCTGTGCAGATAGCCTCACCTGTGCAGGCGCCTGCAGGAGGTCACGAGCGTTTTGTTCAGGTGGGGCAGGTGGCTGGCCCCTCCCTTCACCGCCTCCAAGTCCAGGGAGTAGCTGCCTTTCAGGTATTCGTGGGAAATGGTGCTGAGTCCGTTGGTGGGGCTGGAAGACAAAAAAAGCTGAGCTGGCCCCGTGCCGTTCCAGGGGTAGGAAGCAGGCCTTCCCACCAGGATGGGGGGCAGACCCTGGCAGAAAAACCGCGATGGGTACAGATCCCATTTTGTCTGGACGCAGGGAATCCATGGCTGGCAAGCATTCGGTGACTGTTTGAAGTTACTGCTGAGAAAGGGTGACTTACAATTGGTCCTCGTACTTATAACCGTTGCAGCGTCCCTACGGGATCAAAATTCGGGTGCTTTGGCAATGGATGCGGATTGCAGCATCCCAGGGAGGTCACATGACCCCCTTTTGCGACCTTCCGAGAAGCAAAATCAAGGGGGGGGGAAGGTGGATTTCCTTAACAGCCGGGTGACTCACTTAACAACTGTGGAGATTCACTTAACAACCATGGCAAGAAAGGTCATAAAATCGGGTGCAATTCACTTAGCAACTGTCTTCCTTAGCGATGGGAATTCTCACGATCAGTTTGGTCATAAGTCGAGGATTACCTGTCATGGAGCTGGAGAGGCTTTGGAAAGGGGGAGGATGAGATGGGGGACAGGGGGGAGGTGTGCAAAATTATGCAGGGTGGGATAGAACCACAGCCCCTCCCTTCACGCCTCGCCCCCCCCCCCAGAATTGAACACTAGAAGAATCGGGCAAGATCACTTTTCTTAAACCCAGGGCATGCAGGAAGTCCTCGGCTTATGGCCACAGTTCAGCCCAACATTTCTGTTGCTAAGCGAGACGGTGAGTTTTGCCCCAATTTGCGATCTTTCTTGCCACAGTTAAGTGAAACACTGCAGTTATTAAGTTAATCCAGGGATAGGTAACCGTGGCTCTTTTATGACTCGTGGACTTCAACTCCCAGAATTCCTGAGCCAGCCACGCTGAGGGGAAAGGGAGAGGTTTCCAAGCTGAGCCAGGCTGGCTCAGGAATTCTGGGAATTGAAGTCCTCGAGTCATGAAGGGGCCAAAGTTTCCCCCATGCTGGCTCAGGAATTCTGGGAGTTGAAGTCCACGAGTCATGAAGGGGCCAAAGTTTCCCCCATGCTGGCTCAGGAATTCTGGGAATTGAAGTCCTCGAGTCATGAAGGGGCCAAAGTTTCCCCCATGCTGGCTCAGGAATTCTGGGAGTTGAAGTCCACGAGTCATGAGGGGGCCAAAGTTTCCCCCATGCTGGCTGAGGAATTCTGGGAGTTGAAGTCCACGAGTCATGAAGGGGCCATAGTTCCCCCATGCTGCCTCAGGAATTCTGGGAGTTGAAGTCCACGAGTCATAAAAGAGACAAGGTGGCCTACTCCTTAGTTAGCCACATGGTTGTTAAGTTGGTCCAGCTTCCCCCACTGACTTTGCTTGTCTGGGGATCACAAAAGGGGATCACGTGATCTCGGGATGCTGCGACCGTCATAACTATGAGTCGGTTGCCAAGCGCCTGAATTTTGATCACGTGACCCTGGGGATGCTGCAGCGGCCGTAAGAGTGAAAAACGGTCCTAAGTCACTTTTTTCAGGGCTGTTGTAACTTTGAACAGTCACTAATCGAAGACAAGGACTCTCCGCAATTGAAGCTTGGAATTCACCGCCACAAGATGGGTCGCCTTCCAGAAACGCCTGGAGCGATTCAAGGAGGCCTGGCGATCGGTGGGTCTTGGCCTAGAGGAGGGGGTGGGGGTGAGATGGGGGGGTCCCATCCAGCTGGGCAGGACTCCTGTTCTTCTCCCTACCCTTCCGGGGAGGGGGGGGAACTTTGCCTTACCTTTCGAGGGCTCTGTCCTGCCCTGCAGGGCTGTTTGTCATCAAGATGGAGGCGCTGCTGCTGCTGCCCCCAGGAATGCTGGTGGAGCCTGAGCGGGGGGGCAGGGGGGGCTTCTCATCCTCCCCGTCTGCAAGAGAGAAGATCAGCAGAGGGAAAGGAGAAGGAGGAGGAAGGAAGGGAGGGGAACAGGAGGAAGAGGAAGGGAAGGAGGAACAGGAAGTGGAAGAAAGAAGGGAAGAGGAAGAAGGAAAGGAAAGGAGAGAAGAGGAGAGGACAGGAGAGGAGAAGAGAGGAGAGGAGAGGAAAGGAGAGGAGAGGAAAGGAAGAGAGAAGGAAAGGAAAGGAAGGAAAGAAAGAGAGAAGGGAAGGGAAGGGAAGGAGAGGAAGGGAAAGGAAGAGGGAAGGGAAGGAAAGGAAAGGAGAGGAGAGGAAGGGAAGAGAAAGGAAGGAAAGAAAGAGAGAAGGGAAGGAAAGGAGAGGAAGGGAAAGGAAAGGAAGAGAGAAGGGAAGGGAAGGGAAGGAAGAGAGAAGGGAAGGAGAAGGGAAAGGGAAGATAAGAAAAAGAAAGGGAAGGAAAGGGAAGGAAGGGGAAGGGAGGGAAGGAAGAGAGAAGGGAAGGAAAGGAAAGGAGAGGAGAGGAAGGGAAGGGAAAGGAAGGAAAGAAAGAGAGAAGGGAAGGGAAGGAAAGGAAGAGGGAAGGGAAGGGGAGGGGAGGAAAGGGAAGGGAAGGAAGAGAGAAGGAGAAGGGAAAGGGAAGATAAGAAAAGGGAAGGGAAGGAAGGGGAAGGGAGGAAAGGAAGAGGGAAGGGAAGGGCTGGCGGGTACCTGAGTAGTCCCTCTCCTCCGCATTCTCCTTCTCCTTCTCCCGCTCCACAGGGAAGAGCAGAGTGCAGGCCAGGCCCTGGTTCGGCTGCAGGTAGAGGGCAATCAGCTCGCTCAGCGTCTTGAAACGCCGCACTGGGACGCCCTGGGACGTCTGTGGGGAGGAAAGGACAACGTCCAGCAGGCTGAGGAAACTCCGTCCCCTGGACACGGACCCACCAAAGGAGGTCCCGGATCTCTGAGGGCCTGAGCGGATGCTGGGCTGGAGAAGGGTGAACGACTAAGCAATCTCTCTCTCTCTCTCTCTCTTCATATAGCTATAGTGAAATATATATGAAGAGGGAGTCAAGCTCTTCTCCAAAGCCCCTGAAGGCAGGACAAGAAGCAACAGATGGAAACTAACCAAGGAGAGAAACAACCTAGAACTAAGGAGAAACTTCCTGACAGTGAGGACAATTAACCAGTGGAACCACCTGCCTCCAGAAGTTGTGGGTGCTCCATCACTGGAGGTTTTTAAGAAGAGACTGGACAGCCCTTTGTCCGGAATGGTATAGAGCAGTGGTGGCGAACCTATGGCATGCATGCTGGAGGCGGCACTCAGAGCCCTCTCTGTGGGCACCCGCGCCATGCCCGGGAGATGGCAACCGTCTCTCTTCAACCAGCCTCCTGCTAACTCGCCAAGGTCCCACATGGCCGGATGCATCCCTCCCTCCCGTCCCGTCCTTCCTGGCCTCGCATGCTCTCCTTTTCCCGGGCACGACCACTGCATCACCTCCTCAGCTGTCGGTTATCGGTCCAGCTCAGAGGCAGCTTCTCTGAACTGCTGGCGGCTGGCTGTGGAGCCCCAGAATGCACCAGTTGAGGGGCTGGCAGGCTGTGGCTGCTGACGGACACTGTCGGCCCCCATGCGCTCGCTGGCCTCTGTGTCTGGGGGGTGATGGTGTCGGGCAGCAGCTGCCCCGGCCTCGCCTTGCCCTGCAACAATGGCACCCCTGCCTTCCTTGCCTAGCCTCACCCCGCAGGATGAGCCTCCTGCCCACCGTCCCACCTGCCAGAGACCCCTCTGGATCTCCCCCAACCCTGCCCGGCCCCCACAGGCATCCCTCCCCATAAGCAACATCAAGGTGACCAAGCCCACCTTGGCCACACCCACCCAGTCTGCCATGACCACCACGGCCACCTGGCACCTGGCGATAAATAAGTGGATTTTGGGTTGCAGTTTGGGTACTCGGTCTCTAAAAGGTTCACCAGCACTGGTCTAGGGTCTCCTGCTTGAGCAGGGGGTTGGACTAGATGACCTCCAAGATCCCTTCCAACTCTGCTATTCTATTCTATTCTATTCTATTCTAGTCTAGTCTTTCTCTTTCTATTCTATTCTTCTATTCCCAATGGCAAGAAAAATCAGCCACTGGAACCACTTGCTTCCAGAAGTTGTGAGGAGGTTTTAAGAAGAGATTGGACAAGTATCTCTCTGAAATGGTAGGGTCTCCTGCTTGAGCACGGGGTTGGACTAGATGACCTCCAAGATCCCTTCCAACTCTGTTATTCTATTCTATTCTATTCTATTCTATTCTATTCTATTCTACTCTACTCTATATTTCTATTCTATTCTATTCCTTATTTCTATTCTATTCTATTCTACTCTATTTCTATTCTATTCTATTCCTTATTTCTATTCTAGTCTAGTCTAGTCTAGTCTTTCTCTTTCTATTCTAGTCCTCTATTCCCAATGGCAAGAAAAATCAACCAATGGGACTGCTTGCTTCCAGAAGTTGTGAGTGCTCAATCACAGGATGTTTTAAGAAGAGATTGGACAAGTATCTCTCTGAAATGATCTAGGGTCTCCTGCTTGAGCACGGGGTTGGACTAGATGACCTCCAAGGTCTCTTCCAGCTCTTGTTATTCTGAGGTTTTAGGAACCATCCTGATTAAGTGGTTAAGGCACAAGGGAAGGAAGCAGGAAGCCACACATTCTAGTCCCATCATAGGTCTGAAAGCTTCCCGGGGACTTTGGGCCAATCCTCGGCAGGCGGTGAGTTCTAGTCTTGCCTTGGGCACCAAACCCAGTTGGCTGACTTTGGGCCAGTCACTCTCAGCCCAACCCCCCCTCGCAGGGTTGTCGTGGGGAAAATAGGAGGAAGGTGTGTTGGATCTGTTTGAGTTATTTGTGTAACTGAGAAAGGGGAGAGACAAATAAGTAAACTTATAGGGATAGCTGCTGAGTTCTTACAAGTGCTATGCTCCTAGGAACAGATGCCTCAGCTTCAGAGATGAAGAGCTGGTTTTGTGGTACAGTGTGTGTATGTGTTTGTGTGTGCATGTGTGCTCTAGGACTCTTTCAACAATGTCACGTGTAGGCACTAAGAAGTGTGTCAACTCCATCACATCAAGCTGTGCTGTGCAATCACGCTTCCAAGAGATTTGTGTAGCCTGAGGATGTTCTAACCGTCTCCCAAAACCTGGCTGTATTCCCAAGTGATTACGAAACCCAGAATCTTCTTTTAGGCTTGTGTTGTTGTTTTTTTCTTCGTCTTCCGGATGTACATTGTCTGTTTCATGTTTTATAGTTGCGCCCTTTTAAAGTGAAAACTGCCCAGAATTGGCGGGAATCAGGCAGCCTCTAAATCAGGGGTCTTCCAACTTGGCCCTTTGATGACTTGTGGACTTCAACTCCCAGAATTCCTCAGCCAGGAATTCTGGGAGTTGCAGTCCACAAGTCATCAAAGGGCCAAGTTGGAAGACCCCTGGACTTCAACTCCCAGAATTCCTCAGCTAGACACGCTGGCTGAGGAATTCTGGGAGTTCGTCCACAAGTCATCAAAGGGCCAAGTTGGAAGACCCCTGGAATTCAACTCTCAGAATTCCTCAGCCAGGCACGCTGGCTGAGGAATTCTGGGAGTTGAAGTCCACAAGTCATCAAAGGGCCAAGTTGGAAGACCCCCGGACTTCAACTCCCAGAATTCCTCAGCTAGGCATGCTGGCTGAGGAACTCTGGGAATTGAAGTCCACAAGTCATCAAAGGGCCAAGTTGGAAGACCCCTGCTCTAAATAGCATAAATTAAGCAATTGGAAAAGAATCTTTCCTAAACCAGGTTACGAATGCCTGGTCCCAGAAGGGTTTGGTCAGAGTCTGACTTGGTTTATAGTCGGATGAGAGATTCTGGGCTAAACTGGGAGTTCAGAAAAGTACCCTAAAAGCAGAGGCAAACCAGCTTTGCATTCAGAAAACCCGGAATCCCTGTTCCTCAATCTTGGCACCTTGAAGTTGCCTGGACTTCGTCTCCCAGAATTCCCCAGCCAGCCTGGCAGTGGTGCTTAACCATCGCCACAAAAATAGATCATCAAATCAAGTTAGTCGTCTGGGTGCCTCAACTTACGACCATCACAACAGAAATTCTGGCCTCCAGAATTTGTAGGGTTAAGAACTGTACGTAGTCCCGACTTACGACCAGAATTGAGCCCAAATTTTTCTCTCGCTAAGTGAGACCTTTGTTCAGTGAGGTTTGTCCCACTTTACGACCTTTCTTGTTGTTAAGTGAATCACTGCGGTTGTTAAATGAGTAACACGGTTGTTAAGCGAATCGGGCTTCCCCCACTGATTTTGCTTGTCAGAAGGTCGCAAAAAGGGATCACTTGACCCCCGGGGGACGCTGTGGACTGTCGTAAATTTGAATCAGTTGCCAACCAAGTGTCCAGATTTTGATCACATGACCGCGGGGAAATGCAGCAATGGTCAGAAGGGTGCAAAATGGTTAAAAGACACATTTTTCGGTGCCGTTGTACATTCGAACGGCCGGTAAGTGAACCGTTATAAGTCAAGGACTACCTTTACCTGTGTTTGATTTCTTAAGAAAGTCGGCCTCTGGAGCATAAAACGGGGAAGGATTAACTATGGTTCTGGCTTAACCAGGACGAAGCTGGTCTTTGGGGTCTTTAAACTATAATAATAATAATAATAATAATAATAATAATAGTAGTAGTAGTAGTAGTAGTAGTAGTAATAATAATAATAATAATAATAATAATAATAATAATAATAATAAGACTTGATAGGTAGACAAAATGCCAAATCCAGTCTGAACATCTGGCTGACTGTGCGATGATCCATAATAATGATGATGATGATGATGATGATGGAATAATGATGATGATGTTGGAGGTCATCTAGTCCAACCCGCTGCTCAGGCAGGAAACCCTACGCCATTTCAGACAAATGGCTGTCCAGTCTCTTCTTAAAAACTTCCAGTGTTGGAGCATTCACCTCTTCTGGAGGCAGGTTGTTCCACTGGCTAATTATTCTAACTATCAGGAAGTTTCTCCTTAGTTCTAGGTTGCTTCTCTCCTTGATGAGTTTCCATCCGTTGCTTCTTGTCCTGCCCTCAGGCGCTTTGGAGAACAGCTTGACTCCCTCTTCTTTGGGGCAGCCCCTGAGATACTGGAAGACTGCTATCCTGTCCCCCCTTGTCCTTCTCTTCATTAAACTAGACATCCCCAATTCCAGCAACCGTTCCTCGTATGTTTTAGCCTCCAGTCCCCTAATCATCTTTGTTGCTCTTCTCTGCCCTCTTTCCAGAGTCTCAATATCTTTTTTATAATATCGTGACCAACACTGGATGCCATATTCCAAGTGTGGCCTTACCAAGGCCTTGTAGAGTGGTGGTCGTTTCCTGGAAGGGGCACTGGCTGGCCCACTCTGACCTGGCTCGTCTGCCCGCTTGCCAGGCAGGGCATAGGATGCCCGTCAGCCCACAAACTTCCTCTCCGCAGCTGGTGCGCCCTTTGCCCGCCTCCTCTCTTAGTCCTGCTTGGCGAGGAGCACAATGGAGCCATTGTCGCCTCTCGTGAGTCCGGCTGGCCTCGCCCCAAGATCAGCACTGTGTGGGCATCTGCAGGGCTCTCCACCAGCTGGGGCTGCCCAGGAGAAGCAGCTGGGCGATGCCGCATGCAGAAAGGGAGAGGCATGACCCAAATTTCCCGGAATGGCCGTCTCCGGCGGCCGCTATCCCTCATTCCTGGGACCCCAGAAGACCCCCTGCTCTTCTTCCCGCTGGGCCATTTCCAGGCAGGGGGGAGCAAGCCTCCATACAGAGCTCAGCGTGGCAAATGGGGCAAAGAAGGATCTGGCAGGGAAGCAGGACATGAAAACAGAGAACCCAGAAATGTGTATCCCAAGAAAAGAAGAAGCAGGGGCGACTTGATAGCAGCGTTCCGGTATTTGAGGGGCTGCCCCAAAGAAGAGGAGGGGGTCATGTTATTCTTCAAAGCACCAGAGGGAAGGACGAGAAACAAGGGTTGGAAACTGACCAAAGAGAGAAGCAACCTGGAATTAAGGAGAAAGTTCCAGACAGTGAGGACAACTAACCAGTGGAACAGCTTGCCACCAGAAACTGTGGGCGCTCCATCACTGGAAGTTTTTAAGAAGAGACTGGACGGCCATTTCTCTGAAATGGTCTAGGGTCTCCTGATTGGACTAGAAGACCTCCAAGGTCCCTTCCAGCTCTGTTACTGTGTTAATTAATCAGTAATTAATTTCCTGACAGTCAGAACAATTAACCAGTGGAACGGATGTTGCCTCCAGAAATTGTAGGCGCCCCATCACTGGAGGTTTTTAAGAAGAGACTGGACAGTCACTTGTCTGAGATGGTGTAGGTTCTCCTGCTTGAGCAGGGGGCTGGACTAGATGACCTCCAAGGTTCTATTCTATTCTATTCTATTCTATTCTATTCTATTCTATTCTATTCTATTCTATTCTATTCTATTCTATTCCATTCCATTCCACTCCATTCTATTCTATTCCACTCCATTCCACTCCATTCCATTCCATTCCATTCCATGCTATTCTATTCCACTCCACTCCATTCCATTCCATTCCATTCCATTCCACTCCACTCCACTCCACTCCACTCTATTCTATTGTTATTCTCTTCTCTTCTACTAAATTCTGGAATTTCAGCACCGAGAATTCCCATTAGTAGATTCCTCCACAGTCAATGGTCCTCTAATTATCACCATCAGCCTGTTTGGTGTGGTAACCAGGAGAGCAGCCACTGTTCTAAGCTGCATTAAAAAAGGGGTAGAATCAGGATCATGTTAAGTGTTAATACCACTTGATAAGGCCACACTTGGAATCCCGCATCCAGTTTTGGTCACCACGATGTAAAAAAGATGCTGAGACTCTAGAAAGAGTACAGAGAAGAGCAACAAAGACGATCATGGGGCTGGAGGCTAAAACATATAAAGAACAGTTGCTGGAATTGGGTATGTCCAGTTTAATGAAGAGAAGGAGGAGGGGGGACAGGATAGCAGTCTTCCAGTATCTCAGGGGCTGCCCCAAAGAAGAGGGAGTCAAGCTATTTTCCAAAGCTCCTGAAGGCAGGACAAGAAGCAACAGATGGAAACTCATCAAGGAGAGAAGCAACCTGGAGTTAAGGGGAAACTTCCTGACAGTGAGAACAATTAACCAGTGGAACAGAAGTTGCCTTCAGAAGTTGTGGATGCTCCATCAACTTTTAAAAAGAGATTGGACCACAATTTGTCTGAAATAGTATACGGTCTCCTACGTGAGCAGGGGGATAGACTAGAAGACCTCCAAGCTCCCTTTTAACTCTGTTATTCTGAAATCCAGAGGGCAAATGCAGAAAGGCAGAAGTATGGAAGCCGCGATAGTCTGACGAAAGCAATGCTGCTCAGCAACTTTAAGAGGTGTGGACTTCAACTCCCAGCACTCCCCAGCCAGGATAGCTGCATGGAATTCTGGGAGGTGAAGTCCAAAAGTTGCCGAGTTTGAGAAACGGTGGATAAACAGAAATGCTCACCTGGACGGCCAGGAACTCTTCTTCGTCAGGTAAAATCCGATAGGTGTGGACATGTTTCTGGAACCTTAAAAGGACAGAAAGAAGACGTTAAGCAGGGTGAAAATGGAAAGTATAACATTTAGAGCAGCGGTTCTCAACCTGTGGGTCGGGACCCCATTTGGGGTTGAACGACCATTTCACGGGGGTCGCCAAACAACGCAGTCCGCCATTTCCCCCTCCCCCCTTTTCCTTAGCTGTGCTCCTCCCTTTTATTCTATTGGCTTTTGAAAGCCCATAGAATAGACTCTCTTGAATAGAGTCTAATTCTATTGGCTTTCAAAAGCCAATAGGAATTGTCCAGGCTGTCTCTGCCCTGCTGAGCCCGCCAAAAGCCCCATTCTGCAAACGGTGCTGCACCAGTTGAGTAGTCCTCGACTTACGACCGGTTGAGTAGTCCTCGACTTACGACCGGTTGGGGGTCACGGCATTAAAAAGGTTGAGAACCACTGATTTAGAGTCAAGTTCTCAACTTTAAATCTCTGTTTCTCAACCTTGGCTGCCTGAAGATGGGTAGACTTCAAATCCCAGAATTCCCCAGCCAGCAGTCAGAGTCACATCATGAACCTTGCTCGAACTACACAATTCCTAGGCAACAATAAAAGCCAGATTTGATTTCATGCTGGCTAGAGAATTCTGGGAGCTGCACTGCACACAATTTCTAACCTCACGACCCAAGAGAAATAGACTGGGTCACCACCATGTATGGGTCAAGAACCAGGTCCAGATGTGTTAAGATTAGAGCTGCTGATAGTTTTACGAAAGAATCGCTGGGTCTGTCATTTATACCGCTATAACTGTCTGGTGTGGCCCAGCAACCCGACAAGGACACATACAGACAGTTAGGCCTGGAGAAAAAATAATTGCAACCCGCCTGCTTTCCACTGAGGACCTGTAAGCTGCATAGGTCAGAAAGAGGGCTGAGAAAATATTTTACAGACCCCTCACATCCTGGATGTTCATTCCAGTATTTGAGGGGCTGCCCCAAAGAAGAGGGAGTCAAGCCATTCTCCAAAGCCCCTGAAGGCAGGACAAGAAATAATGGTTGGAAGCGGATCAAGGAGAGAAGCAACCTGGAACTAAGGAGAAACATCTAACATTAAGGGCAATTAACCAGTGGAACAGCTTGCCACCAGAAATCATGGGTGCTCCATCACTGGAGGTTTTTAAGAAGAGACTGGACATTCACCTGTCTGGGAAGGTATAGTTCTCCTGCTTAAGCAAGGGGCGGGACTAGAAGACCTCCATGGTCCCTTCCAGCTCTATTCTATTCTAGGGGGGACATGATAGCAATCTTCCATTATTTGAGGGGCTGCCACAAAGAAGAAGGAGTCAAGCTATTCTCCAAAGCGCCTGAAGGCAGGACAAGAAGCAATGGATGGAAACTAATCAAGGAGAGAAGCAACCTAGAACTAAGGAGAAACTTCCTGACAGTGAGAACAATTAATCAGTGGAACAGCTTGCCACCAGACATCGTGGGTGCTCCATCACTGGAGGTTTTTAAGAAGAGACTGGATAGTCGCTTGTCTGAGATGGTGTAGGTTCTCCTGCTTGAGCGGGAGGGCTGGACTAGAAGACCTCCAAGGTCCCTTCCAGATTCTATTCTATTCTATTCCTTTCCTTGGGATGGCGCTATAGGGCATTGCATCCAAGGCAACCAGACCTAGAGACAATTTTTCCCCTGGTGCCATCACTCTGCTGACCACTTAAGTCCCACAACACTGTCTCATGTCTAGTATGGCTGTCTAGGGAGTCCTTGATTTACAACCGTTCATTTAGTGACCGTTCAAAGTTACGACGGCACTGAACAAAAGGAACCAACGGCTGTTTTTCACACCTACCGTTGCAGCATCCCCGTGGTCAAAATTCAGACCCTTGGTAACCGGTTCACGTTTTATGACGGTCGCAGTGTCCTGGACTCACGTCAATGTCATCCTCAGCCAAGTCGATAGGGAAGGCAGATTTGCTTAATAACTGTGTTACTAACTCAACAATGGCAGTGATTCACTTAAGAACTGTGAAAGGTTGTAAAATGGGGCAAAATTCACTTTGCAACTGCCTCGCTTAGCAGCAGAAATTTTGGGGTCAATTGTGGTCGTATATCTGGTTGAAGAATAGTGATGATGATGATGATGATGATGTTGTTGGAAGGGACCTTGGAGGTCATCTAGTCCAACCCCTGCTCAGGCAGGAATCCCTATACCATTTCAGACAAATGGCTGTCCAGTCTCTTCTTAAAAACTCCTAGTGTTGGAGCATTCACTGCTTCTGGAGGCAGGTTGTTCCACTGGTTAATTGTTCTGACTGTCAGGAAGTTTCTCCTTAATTCCAGGTTGCTTCTCTCCTGGATTGGTTTCCATCCGTTGCTTCTTGTTCTGCCTTCAGGTGCTTTGGAGAAGAGGTGAGACCCCGTCTTCTTTGGGGCAGCCCCTCAAACACTGGAATATAGCTATTATGCCCCATTATTATTGTTATTGTTGTTGTTGTTGTTGTTATATTAATTGTGAATATTTATTTATTTTATTTATTTATGAGACTTATATACCGCTTTAAGTGCAAGCACTCTCTAAGCGGTGTACACCAGTAAGCAATGTATATATATATATATTTACATTGCCCCCAACAATCTGGGTCCTCATTTTACCTACCCCGGAAGGATGGAAGGCTGAGTCAACCTTGAGCCGGTGAGATTTGAACCGCCGACCTGCTGAACACAGTCAGCTAAAGTGGCCTGCAGTACTGCACCCTAACTGCTGCGCCACCTCGGCTCGGTATTTCTCAATCTTAGCAACTTTAAGAAGTGTGGACCTCAACTCCCAGAATTCCCCAGCCAGCCAGCCAACACAGACCACACGGAGACCTCAGTCTGAGAGCTGGATTCGCACCCAGGGCTGCTCTGAGCCAGGTGCCTCCCTGGCTGCCACTAAGCAGGAGAGGACAGAGATCAAACCATCAAGGGATGCTCTTGAAGTTGCCACAGTTGGATACCTCTGTTCTGAAGCCATCCTACTCTGTCTGGCTGTTGCGGGGTGCAGGGCACAAGGGGAAGGTGCAGAAGCACGGATGCCAGCCTGCCCCCCCCCAAGGGCCCCCTTTAATGAACACCCCCCCCCCGCATCGGCCTTGCAAAGGGTTAACGGGCTGGGCGGGCAGCCAAGAGTCTTCCTGCGACAGCATTATTTATAGCTGGCTCATGGTGGTGACTGCTTTCCCCCCTCTGGGCTGGAGACTCCGTGGTCAGGAGTGGACAAGGCCCAGCCAGGCGTGACTCAGGGAAAAGCACACACGGAGGGGAGGGGAGAGGAAGGGGGGGAGAGGGGGCAGCCTATCTTTAGATGGCAGGGGCAGGAGGGAGCCCTGGCAGCTGACAGAGGGGGGGGGGAGAGAAAGAGAGAGAGAGGAGAGAAAAGAGAGAGAGATAAGAAAGAAAAGAGCGAGAAAGAGAGAGGGGAGAGACAGAGAGAAAGAGAGGGAGAGAGAGAGAAAGAGGGAGGGGGGATAGAGGGAGAGAAGAGAGAGAAGAAAGAAAGAGAGGGGGGGAGGGAAAGAGGGAGAGAGAGAGAGAAAGAGGGAGGGAGGGGAGAGAGAGGGAGAGAGGAAATAGAAAGAGGGGGGGAAGAGAAAGAGAGGGAGAGAGAGAAAGAGGGAGGGAGGGGGAGATGGAGAGAGAGAGAAGAGAGAGAGGAGAGAGAAAGAGGGAGAGGAGAGAGAGGGTGAGGGCGAGAAAGAGAGTGAGAGAAAAGAGGGAAAAAAAGAGAGACAGACAGACAGAGAGAGACAGAAAGAAAAAGAGAGAGAGAGAAAGAGAAAGAAGGAGAGAGAAAGAGGGAGAGGAGAGAGAGGGTGAAGGCGAGAAAGAGAGTGAGAGAAAAGAGGGAAAAAGAGAGAGACAGACAGAGAGAGACAGAGAGAGAAAGAAAGAAAAAGAGAGAGAGAGAAAGAGAAAGAGAGGTCCAGCCCAGATGTCTTGCACTAGCACTGAACTGCGAGACAGATTTGTGTGTGTGTCTGTGTGTGAAAGAGACAGAGAGGCTGTTGCAGTTGAACAATCTTGCACTAGCACAGATGTGCAGGCAGATGTGTGTCTCTGTGCGTGTGTCTTGCACTAGCAGGTGTGCCAGGCAGACACGCCAAACTGTGTGCCATTTTAAAAATATTTTCATTGCCTTTAAAAAAAGCCGAATGCTCTTTACACTTTGGGAACTGTAAGCCATCCAGGGACATGGATTGAGATGCGCAGCTCTAGAAATTCAATAAATCCAAAAGCGACGTATGACCGGTTTTCACACTTACGACCTTTTGCGGGATCCCCACGGTCACAGGATCAAAACTGGGGGGAGATCCTTGGCAACCGACTCGTAGTTATGACGGTCGCCGTGTCCTAGGCTCATGCAATCCCCTTTCGCGACGTCCTGACAAGCCAAGCCAACGAGGGGGGGGGGAATCCTGATCCACTTAACAACCGCGTTACTGACTTAACAACGGCAATGATCCGCTTAAGAACTGCGGCAAGAAAAGCCGTAAAATGGGGCAACACTTCCGTAACAACTGCCTTGCTTTGCAACAGAAAACGTCGGGCCCAACTGCAGTCGTTAAGCCGAGGACCACCTGTTTCTGCAGGGAATAACCCCCGACGTCGCAGCCAGGCACCCAGACCCCGTTGCAACCAGTCCCTCTGGCTATGCAAATGCAAGGGAGCTCCGCCAGCCCCACAGGAAGACAAAGGTGCTGGGGGGAGAAAGGGGTGGGCTTGACAGGGCCTGCCCCACACGCAGAGCTGCTGTCTGTAGACAGGGGCCTGGGTGAAATTCCAGCAACTGAGAAACGGTTGCTAGAATTGGGGATGTCTAGTTTAACGAAGAGAAGGACAAGGGGGGACATGATAGCAGTGTTCCAATATCTCAGGGGCTGCCATAAAGAAGAGGGAGTCAAGCTGTTCTCCAAAGTGCCTGAAGGCAGGACAAGAAGCAACGGGTGGAAACTCATCCAGGAGAGAAGCAACCTGGAACTAAGGAGAAACTTCCTGAC